CGTTAGCCTGAGCAATGGTTCAACAACACCCGTTTCAATGCTTTAGATTCATCAGCAGTGAGCCGATTAGTCTAGTCCTTAGAAAGGTGAATTAATGAGATCGAGGGGAACTGCTGCATGTGGTGCCGACCTCACGGGATGAAACTTACCCAGAAAATAAACAGCGAATTTATAATGTGCAGGGCGACTTCGTATTCTAATGAGACAATAAACGCTTGGCATGGATTTGGTACAAGTAGTTTTGTGTGTGAGAAAGATATGATATAAAGTGACCCTGAGCCAAAGAGGCAGGTATGACTACAGCAGACGGATGGAGCGAGATCAATGGGAATCCAGCAGTGCTCACCGTATGTTCACTGCTGCGTCTCACAGATCAATAAGCCATTACGAAAAAAAGAAACTCACAAGAGTCACGGTTTGTGGGAGCCTCCATCTCATTTCAATACACTCGATCACAACGGGGCCCATCTGAGCGGAGGACACACTTTCTCAACACAAGGCCGAAGAGGCCATAAATCTTCTTAGGCTTTAATAGCGAACATTTTTCACGAGCAGATCCTCCACATCCACTTTGATTAAACACAAGCAATGAATCACATGACAATATTATTTGTTTAGTATGCGCTACCATGAACAGCCTTGATGCTTGGGTCGGCTCTCATTTACTGCCTTCAATATTGTTATCAATAGCTTTCTGCATTTTCCAGAACTTTGGACTTTGGATGAACGGACCGGCCGACGGGTGGGAGGGTTGCGTACGCGGAAAGGACAACGTGCGACACCTTCATTTTCCGAGCCACGGTCTCTGTCCGCTGGTGGACGTGTGCTTATGTGTCTTTTTGTGGCCAGCGGGACGGAACTGGATAATTGTAATAGTGCAAAGGAAAAAGGAGACATTCATTGAATGGTGGGGGGAAACACAGCTGGGTACTCACTCGATGTCTTTCCTGACAGAACCAAGCAGGTCTTCCCGTTCCCTGATAGCCAAGAAGTTGCCTTTGGTTTTGTGGAATTCATGCGTGTAATCCTGCAGAGAAAATAAATCCAAGTAAAAATTTAAGAAGGTGGAACATTGAACACCTAAAATGACTAAATGGAAACACTACGGCACGTGTGCTTAGGAAAGTTTTAGTTTTTGACAGTGAATTTAGGGATGTTTTACAGAACAAAAAGGCAAAGTAGAATAAATAAATAGAGTGCATGAAACAGAATCTGATTAATTAAAATCTATTGGAAAGAATGAGGGCAAACCTGTAGGATGTCTCTGTGTCTCTGCAGCGTGTGCATGAGTGCAGCGTTGAGAGACGCCGTGCCCGGGGTGTTGGTGTACTCTGCCATCTTGTCATTCACTAAAGTCAGCTGACAGGGAGATGGAAATTAATGGATTACAAAGCGGGCCAGAGAAGACGTGAGGGAAACCAGGAGAGCCAGAAATAAGGTAAAGACCCGGTACAACATGGAGGATATGCAAAACCCGACAAGACACAAGCACGGGTAAATTCAAGGATGAACACTTCATATCAAAAGAGATGGATTCTGAGGCAAACTGACAAATGATACAACACATTGTAGGGGTGACTACATTGTACCATTTTGACACTGAACATAGCACTTTGTTTTTTTGGCCAATAATCTAAAGTTACACCTTTGTCAAATACATGAAGGCACTAGGGCCCATTGTGAAGGATGTGATATGGAGCGGCATAAATCCGGTGCGGTTCTGGCCTTTTTGTGGGCCTTACTTACTTTGGCCAGCAGCTGTTCAATCTCCACTGACATGGTGTCAAACATCCTGTCTTGGGTAGAGTTGTTTAGCAGTGGCGTGGTGTCTGACCTTCAGAGGAAACCAGAGAATGGAGAACAATCAGAAAAACGTTTTCAAGTCGTTTGTTTTCAAAAAATGTTGGAAAAGGTTCTTACATTTGTGTGCCTCTACATATCGTAATATTACAAAGTGTTGAAATTGCACACTGAGGAAGTTAAATGTTTAGTTGGGCACCAATAATTGTCTTGCGCAAACATTGTTTAGCAAATGACCTAAATTTGTCTCCGAATCAAAATAAATGTTGAATCGGAAATGACTCCCTATTAACTTTAATGAGTAATGTTCATGTAAAACATGTACTAAACATAACACAATCCATGTCGGTAGAAGGTGGTGGTGAATGTACGGATGCATTGGTAGAATTGGAGAGACAGGGAGAATCTCCAAGTGGAAATGGCAAGTCTGTGGCGGCTCCGCGGCAGGCCTCACAACCGCGACCTGAGTGGGCGAAGCCACATTTTCAGAGAACAGCCATTGATTGTGCGACAGGTCAGCTGCCGTAAGTCAGTTTTATGATTCTAGATGTCGGTGTGTACAGTAGCAGTCAGAGGAGTGCCACTGAGTAGTCAGTGAGGTGCCACAGTCTACTACGGACTTCTGATGGCCCTCCTCCGACTACTACTACTACTATACATACTGACGCCTACGTTTATCCAGAGGAAGAGTGAAGATATTTTCATACATGTAGTTTTGGATTAGACTTTTTATGGATTTTTTTAAAATTGTAAATAAATATGCTTTTAAAATGATGATGAAATTGATGATTTCTTTTCAGTGTTTTATCCGATAGTTGTAAATGACTATAAAAGTAATTATGTGGAAAAAGTGTATTATGACCCTGAATAAAATGAATGAGAAACAAAAAAGGACAAACAGCGACCGTGCTCTGAAAACGTGGCTCCGCCCACTCACGGAGTTGGCACAGATTCACAAACTGGTATGACGACAAACAAAGAATGTTTTGTATGAACTGTTTCAAGCCAAATTGCTTTTCTAAAAAGGAACATTCAAATAGTCTCAAATAGTGGCTTGATTGCTAAAAGATACAAAAAGGTGAACTGGTAGTGTCAGCATAATGAAATTTTGATTGGAAAATTCTCCTCAACTTTCCCCCTTTAAGGATAGTTTAGCTAGTAAACAAGGCCCTTGGAGTTGGTATGGTTACAATGTATTGTTCATAGAAACTTCCTCCTGCAAACACAATTTCCTGTGATTGCAACCCTCCTGCCAAATATCTAGGGCCAACTATTAGGCCCCTTTCAATCACAGCTTCTTCTACTAAATGATCACCATCAAATTGGTTAAGAATTAGGCATGGATCCCTTCACTAACCAAAATGAGAAGGACCTCAATGATTTTGAAATACAAGTCACAATTATTTGGATTATCAAGTTTTCTGAGAAGTCATTTCTTGGTTAACTTGGTCTATAATTGAAAAAAAAATCATCCCAGAAAACCAGGGAGACATCTTTAAATAATTTGTTTTACCCAACAATTGCTGGCTATACAATCCAGTGATATTAAATTTCCATCAAACATGACAAAAGCAGAAAAACCTTTTAAAATCTGGAATCAGAAACATTTGGGTATGAATCCGCTGGAATGATTATCCATTATTACTACCACTGTTGCACTACCAACAGTCATAGATTCATTTTCAGTTGACAACTTCCCAATCTGGTCAAATGGGTTCCTTGAATAACCGGGTAGTAGTAAATAGTGTAGTTAGTTACCTGTATCTAACATGTCATGGCGCGTGGGACTGGGAAAGACAAAACGTCACTTACGTGTCTCCTCGGCGTCCATCCCTCGAGCTGCTGTAGCTGGTGCACAGTTTACTGAAGGAGACCAACTTCAGGTCGAGTTCATTTTCCAACTGTCTGGCCTGCTTTCGCAGATCTGACATCAGATCACATTAGAGAGAGAGAGAGAGAGAGAGAGAGAAATGTGCAGCTTAACAACGGTTAATTTAATGCAGGAGCCATAAGCGATGGCAACGTGATTTGAGCAACGACTTCTGAATAGCTCGGCGCGTTAGTGTGAGTTGAACGAAGTAAGCTAACTTAACGTTAGATCCGCCGGGGGGTAAATAAATAAACAAATACCCATCTAATTCGTGTGCCGGCAGACACAGCGAACTCTGAATGTAGCTATGAATCATTCAGAGCGGCGACATCTATATAACAAACAGTTGAAGGAACAACGTCGATTTACATGGCGACCTGTTAGCTAGCCCGTTGGGAGCCAGTGGTCGTGGAGACACGTATAACTAACGTTATGTGTTTAAACTGTGGCTGAGAACCAAACGCGCCGACAGCCACACCGGTAGCTACGTTGTTGGAATCAAGGATACGTAACTAGTCGTTGCTTTATGTTCTCTTCCGTTAAATAGAGTCTCCCTTACCTTCCCAGTAGTTGCTGCCTCCTATTCCTGCCATCTTTGTTGTCCTGCGACGTCACCGAGTTCCGGGGCCTGGGAGGGTCACGTGACAGAAGCGGAACAAGGCGTTTCAACCGCACGCGAAGGAACCCGGGTGGTTTTGTCGCCCTCAGCTGAGCCTGTCAGGCACCAAACTACCCAGCATCCACCAGGCTTCACACAGGGAGCCCAGCAAATGGGATGAAAACTCCCACCGTGAGATTTAACAGTTGGTTACATCATGTGTTGACTCAGAAGAATATTCCTGTCAGTCCAGCAAAAAAGATGATGTACCAGGCAGGTACATAATGTATTATAGATCATAAGTGTACTGTCATATATTTTGATGATTGATGTCACTGTGTTTTTATATTGTCAAACCACCACCAGCAACGTTTAAGTAGGTGGTATTGAATGGTGAATTGGTCCAATGAACAACATCGATATTGTATTGATACATTTTGACAAATAAGATGTTAAAATGCTTTAGCTGAATTAAACAGCTGATACACTTTGACTTTACGGGTCCAATTTCGATTCTATGCTTGTGTATTCCCTGTATGGGCTCTTTCTTTCTAACTGAAATAAAATACTATAGCAGCAATTAAATGACAACCCGATTGAGCAGATGAACCTCAATGTTCTCCCAGATTCCCAATTATTAACAATAGCACAATGTTAACGAAAAGCGAGATATAGGTTGTTAGGTGTTTTCTTTAATTGTTTTAAGAGTTTTTGTGCATTGTAAGCAAGACATTATCAGACAACGGTTTTTATTGGATGTTTGGTGTAAATTCATGGTAAAGATGAATTGCATTTATTTTTTTCATTCTCATTTGTCAAACATTATTTACAGTTGATTCCAGTTCATATAAAATCTTTACACCAACACGATGACCCTGACACACAAAGTATAGGAACGAAAAATGTACAAAACTGTATGCAGATATTGTTTGTTTTTTTACTGAGGACGGCTGCATTTAATAAAAAGATAAATAAATCTCCTCTCAAAGTAATTGGAAAACAAGGCTCTCCCTCCAATAACTCTCCCTTGAATGTCTGCACAGAAACCTGCTCCCCTGATTGTCCGTATGCCCCACCCAAATGTTGCATTCCAATAACAAATTAATTTATTTAAAAAAAGGACAGATTATTGCATTATTTTGCACCAGATTATAATGAAACTATTTAGGCTCAGTCAAACAAATGTCGACAAATGAAGGCGTTTACTTAACATTGGATGTTACATTTACAACTATAAAAGGAGAAGTTTTAAAAGACATTTTTTGGGTGTTTTTGCAGCTTTCCACCACACCTCAGAGTCAAATTAATTATGATCGACTGCTGTCCTTCGACCGGTCTTTTAAACGTAGCTGAGGCTCTGATGTGACGGTAGATAGGGATCAGTAATGGACTGGCAACCTAGAAGCCTTCTGCACTCTTACGTATTGTTTAGCGGGAGAAGTCAAATTAACACCTTAAAAAGAAAACTAAGAATTGGTATTCCTTTTAATGAGAAATGGTTAGAATGCACATCCGTGTTAAATAATAATAGAAAAATAAAAATACAGGGCACACACTCGACTATCCATGTAGACAGTTTGAAATAAACGTAACAAAAAAGGGAAAGCAACAAATACATTCATTTTTCTGATTACATATTCAGAAACTCATTGATTTATTCATGGCCAATGACATGGGACAATCCTTTCTCTCCATTTAGTGAAAATACAAAACTACTGAATCACCAGGAACTGGATTCAGCCATCTTTAATTGTAATTTATCTATTTTTATACCACCTGGGTATAGGACGGAACAATTGTGACGTATTCACTATGTTGCTGCTTCGCGTCACATACCTCAACCGGACCCCACTGTAAACTTTATAGAAGCCAAGGCACAGTGTTGGATTCAGTTGGATTAGTAGAAAATAAAAATGCTGTCTTGACAAAGGGAAACTTATCATTTCTCAGCTGAAAGCTGTATTGAAATTAATGCATGATATCAGTCGGGACAATGTGTGATATTAAACACGTCCATTCAGACTTCATTACATAGCCTCTTAAAAAAAAGAAAGACGTTGATTTGGACTTATCAGCTGCAACTCAGTCAGTCAGGCAGGACAGGTGAAAAAGCTGTGGAACTTGCTTAAAGGATGGATGAGGGCCAAAGTGGACAAAAAGTTTATTTCTCTCCCTCTTTTATCACCCTCTTTTTGTCTTTTTCTCCTGATCCAGTCAGGCAGAGATGGAGCAATCCCCATTCAGTCCAGACACCAGCAGAATGCTATTAAAGGAATAATTTAGTAGCACTAACAACTAAGAGTGAGTCCTCGTCGTTGTAACAGAACAAATAGCCTTCATCGCTCTTGTATTTTCCGTCATAAAAGAGAAACAGAGATGCCGTCTAGTGTTCAAACTGCTCCTTGTTGGACACATTTAAGGGGGGGAGAGCAAAATAAACCACGGAGCCAAACAGCAAAATTTGTGCAGTGTCCCTCAGATTTTGTTGGCATACAGCGTGTCCTCGTCGCTTTCGCTCTCGTCCTGAAACTCGTGGGCCAGCAGCGACTTCTTGGAACCCATGGAGGTGAGCCGGATCTCATCGTCGTAGTCCTCTCGGTGTTGCCGCAGGCGGTGGAAGCCGTCTTTTTGACGATTGGACTTGGCTGCACACACGCACCAGATGATGCACGCCGTCACCACCAACGCCGTCATGGAGGCTGCTGCAAGGACGAAAAGAAAACACAACTCAGCCTTTCTGCTTCCATGCATGCACACAGTTAGTCACACAAACGTTTGAGGAATATGATTTTTAGTTTGGGGTAGATCACATCATGCATTTTAGTCAACACTTTTCATATGCTTACCTGCACCGGCCACCACAAACTCTCTTGGCAGACCGAGGATGCTGTTGTCCATGTCGAACTCAATGATGATGAAGCGAGCAGCTTCATGGGAATAAACCACCACCTGCAACACGGCACAAAGCGATCAGTGGGCCTTCATGGAATAAAAGTCCCACTCCAGCAAGGCTGAGAGGATTATTCACAGCAAAACATAAGATAAATCTGTGTGAAACATTATTTTTGTTTATTCCGATAGCCAATCCGTTTATATTCAGAGGCTAACTTATCTTCTGAGCTCGCTTTTCACGCCACTCAAAATCAGCTCTGCCACATCATAAACAGGATAAGGTCTATTCTGTTTGTTTGTCCACATTGAGGTAAAGTTATCCAACTGTCCAGCAGAGCTTCCTACTGAAGGGTGGTTCTCAATTACCTAATTAGCCGGCCTCCCTTACAGGTGTGACTGCTTAGTAGAATCTGCTGCAGGTTCTCTTAAATGTCTAAAATAAGATTTGAGCGCTGGCTCGTATGAATCCTAAGTTACACAGCTATTTTCTGAGAATCAAACTTCGGGAATCTTAAGAGTTCACATGCTTGACTTTTCTCCATAGCAAGTGTCTCTCATTTATTCAGTGTCATTGTTGAAGTACAGTTTAAAAAAAAAATGTGGGAAACTAAAACCAAAGCTGAAGAAACAAGGATTTCAAACCGTTTGGCTCGTGACCGGATTCAGTAATGTGGCCTGAACGCAGCCTTGTTGACAATAAGTAAGTGCACCTCTTTCTTTCCGTTTTATCAACCATCATGACTTGCTGGTAGTTTTTTTGAGGGTATGACACAACAACACCAACAACCGAGAAACTAACTCCACCAAAACTAATACCCCTTTCATTTGCAGAGGAACGAAATGCGTCCATATGGCCTAAGGCGGAGTATTCGATGTCCAAAGAAATACGGGGAGACTATTAAAGAGAGGAAATGCGCGTTGGCCCCGAGTTACGATCTGGACCTTTTGTGCGAGCCGAGTGAGGCGGACCCCCAGAAACCCCTGGATGAACGGTACAAAAGGAATGCTGCCATTCTTCCGGATTTCAAACAGCCCCACAGCGACGGGGGCCTCGCTGCTGAAGAAAAGGCGGCGAGCAGCTCGTCAATTAGCCAGCCGGAACCTCTGCTGATTCACGGCTTCACGGTGCCGGAGTACCAGCAGACGTACCACACTGTGGTGGACCCCCTGCTCCTGACGCCTTGCGGGAAGCTGGCAGCCTACAGCCTGGAGCTGGGCAGAAACATTAAGGAGCATCTGTTTGAAGAGCTGGCCTACCCTACGCTGCAGATCTCGGAGCAGCCAAATGGAAAGGTGGAGCTGATGGAGAGGTTTTGTGTGCTCCGCCCGACACCTTTCATTGCCATAGAATGTAATGGGAAACCACAATCATTTTCTCCCGCCAGCTTTCTATAACCTGGCACTATTTATTATTTATGTCTCTCGACGGTTTGCTTTTTACTTAATGTAATGTAGCAGCTGGATTTATATTTCAAATGTTTGTTAAAAAAAGTTAAATGGAAAATATTTCACATTGGTGGAAAAAGCTCCTTTATGAACAATTAAAATGAAAACAGAATTATGCGAGACCTACAAAGCCCAAATGAATTCTGTCTTTTTAATTGGGGTTTGTATCTCCCAAAGTGACCGAGTGCTCAGTATGTCCATTTCTTTTGTATTGTATAATCACCGCATGTTCAACAGGGCACATGTGGACGCCACCAACGCACAACCGCTTTCTAAGGCTCGTGCATAAAATTCATGCTGAAAACTAGACTTGTAAGTCTCTTCTTAAACTAGCATTATTATCTACATTATCACCATCTTCAGAATTGTCATGTATAATAATGTAAAGGTTTTCAACAGCTTTTTTTCTTGTTTGTGTGCATTTCAAGTGATTCACAGTAGAAAATAATTTGACTCTAAATCTTTGACTTGTCGTCACGTTTTGCACCATCGTGATCATCTTCCTAAAGGCGAATGCATCCTTTTGAACGCATCATATGTGGTACCCATGGAACTGGGTGTACCTCTTTATGTTGTTGCTGGTAGCCATCAGCAACGGCTTCAATGTTGTGGTTGCCGGGAGCCAGCAGCGCATGGAAGTAGCCCCCCTCTGCTGTGAAAACTCTCACTCCCCCATTCAGGACAATGATTGCCCCAACAATCGGCTTCCCACTCTTGTCCCGCACCACGCCACGCACTCCTTTATGGACCTGGGTGGGGAACAAATGGAGGGTAGATTCATGCGGGATGGCGAATTGCAATTCTAAAATCTTTATATTCCAAACAATATTTATCATGTCTTAAACACTTTTTTAAAGAGAGTTCACTATTTCCAGTTACTACTGTATTGATTTTAGAAAATATCTTCCTTAAAATCTGTTTCGTCATACATTGGTTAAATAGCTACGTGGAAATGAAAAAGTAGTCTATTAAAGAACTCCTTCAGAAGATAAAATACGGCGTCTCACCTCCACCAACATGCTAAGCAGAGCCTTCTTGTTCTCCGCCCAGAGTGTGGGCAGCTGCTCGGCAGCAGGAAACAAACAGCAGCCACTATACACGGTGATCTCTGGACAGTGACCAAAGTCCATGCTGAAGTCCTGGAAGGAGACAAGATGACAACAAAGACATTGTTAGGAGAGAAATGCCTAATGATATACCGTAGAGGCAGCATGGACGCCTACCTAACTGCAGAAGCTGTGAATGACGGACACTGTAGCGGAGAGACTTACCTTCATGCTCCCCATGTGACTTTGTCTCTCTGCTGCCCTCATAACTCCACCTGGGATGTTGCCCACTGAGTCACAGAGAAGTTCCATTAGCTATGAATAAAAACTCCAAAACAACAGTTTATTCTTGGTACTTAAATGACATACTTTGCCCATTATTTGAACATCCAGTGTCCCCGAGGTGCATCTTAGGATGGTTGTCGGCATAAACACTTGCCAAGTACTTCAACGTGCCCTCATTTTCAACTGTAAAAAAGAGAAAAGGCCTGACATTAAGTGGCATTTATCAACAGCAATCAGTGTTTACATTGTGCATCACGTGTGCTACTCTTAGCAAATTGCTGCCACGTATAAATAGGCTGTCAAATCAATCTGTAAGCTGTGAAGAAAACTACCAGACTGGACGGGCTTGTCGTAAGGGTAGGTAGCAACAAGGGAGCCTCCATCGAGGGCAACAGACAGAGTGTAGCCCCGGTCTAGAATCAGGTCCATCATGGCTCTGCTCTCTGGCTGGGGATCCACCACGCGCTGTGACGCATTGCCTGGAAAAGGGAGGAAAACACACAGACAGGAAATGTTAAAGTAAACTTGCCTTTTTATTGCAAGTTTATGTACAAAGTTCCATAGAGAAGTTTATTTGTGACATTCACCACAAAAACAATTGCAGTCGGATTAAATTGCTAAAACCTTTTTTAAATTTTATCTTTGTATTGCGATTGCGCACACACATACAAAGCCATAAAGACTCACCGAAGAAATCCGTGTCTAGATCTTTGCCGTGAATATTGGTCGAGCCCTGGAGGGAGGTGCACTGCTTCTCAACAGCCTGTTCTCGCCCATCTGGGTTGATGGAAGGCACGATAACAATCCGGGTCTCATTGATCAGCTATCGACAAAACAGAGAAAAATGAATACAGACGAGGCTTTACTGGGACCAGTTACAGCACAAACTGAAACCAATGCTCAATGTGAAAATAGTACAAAGCCTCTTGTGTATTCCAATGAGTGAAATGTCCTACTTTTAAATAAGGTTAGTTCCAGACTATCACCACACTTTATTTCCGAACCCGCCAACACTCACCCTGGTTATGGCTGGGTTTTTGCCATAGTTGATACACAAGAGGGCAGCAAACTCCAGCAGCATCTCTGTGCCCACAGGGGCGTTGCCATGGATCCCGGCTACAAAGCGGATCTTGGGCTCAGAAGGTTCAGCTTCCGCTGGTTTGTTGGAGATTTCCAAACCCCAAATCGTTCGAAACTCTACACTTTGGCCTAAACTGGATACAAAAACAAAAGAAACAAAGTGATATAATAAAAAACTAGCAGTTCTGGACAGTATTGACTTCCTCAGATGAGAGCTATAGAGTATGATGTCAAAAGGTTTTGTATCTTTTAGTGGAAATTCCATTGGCTGTTTTCAAATACCTGCGCAAAGATGTAATTTTAGGAAAGTTAAGTGTGAGGGCTCGCAGGAAGCCAGAGAGCTCCGAGTAGCGTCTGTAGCGGAAGCTGTTCTCCGTGTCCGTGCTGCTGACCAACTGCTCCAAACCCTGGCCTAAAGACAGGTCCTTGATCAAGCTCTGGAATGCCTTCTCAGACGGGTTCTGGGTAGGTTGGGGTCCCTCGGGAGACTGGCCATTAGTATCACGTGTCAGTCTGAAATTCACCAACTCCACGTGGTCCTTCGAGGCGGAGGCGTGGGTGCTCAAAGGAAAATAGCTGGAACAGAAACAGTTCATAGCAGTGGAGTTTTGGGGGCATAACGGCACAGCGATATGTAGAAACGTCATGGTAAATTCTCTGTTTGTTCTCCCTCCTGAGGATGAATCTTACCCATGGGCGGAGGCAGTGATGTAGTAAGTCCCAGGGACCAGCAGCCTCCAGTAGTCTCCAGTGCCAGCTGTGGTGATATTGTGGTGAATGTCCTTCACACTAATGGTGGCATTGGGAATTCCCGTCCCATCCACAATGTCAGAGACTGTGCCTTTTATTCCGCTGTGTACCTACAGAGACACGGTACCGTATTAACATGATGCAAGATTGAGTGTACAGGGAGATGTTAAGAGTTCATTACCTGGTGAATGAACTGAAGCAAGGCCCGCCGGTTTTGTTCCCAGTATTTTGGTAAGTCTTTGCTCGGAGGGTACTTCACACAGCCGAGCTCGATGGTTACCTCAAAGCAGTTGGTGTTTAAGTAGTTCCAGTCCTGCATGCCACCTGGAGAAAATGTGCCCAACTTAAACTTAAAACTAAAACTTAAAAGCTTCGCCTAAAAGCAGAATGACAAATTCCAGTTCAGCACACAACGGTCTTCAGAAAATATTGTGAACTGCCAACAAGCAGAGTCAAAATGTGGCAGATTTACTTTTGAAATCAATCCTGAAACTGCAACATAGTGTCCATTGATGAAGAGTAGATAACACTAGTCTAAAACTACAGCGGCCAAATATAGATTTTCTTTACTAAATAACCTTTTAAAAGATAAACCCACCGACTCAACTACAAAGGAAAACAGAATTAAAGAAATGTCTGAATTGAAGTTTGGGAAAAAAAATCATTCTACATATAAATAACTTTCTAAATATCAAACTTTACTAAAAATCTCAAACATAAAAAATAAATAATGTGGTGAGCAACAAATGTGGTCGTAGATCTAGGCTTACCTGGAACATTGTACCAGTTGGCCCCATTGGTGATACCGTCCTCAAAATATTCCATTGGGTACAGGTCCTCACAAGGGTGTCCATTGTGCATCAAAGGATTCTCTTGCAAGCGCATCACACACACACACACACACACACACACACACACACACACACACACACACACACACACACACACACACACACACACACACACACACACACACACACACACACACACGAGCAAACACAACAATAAGCACTGATGCGGTCAAGTTATCAAACCTTTTATTCTGCCACAGACGTCACAAAAAAATACTTTGTATATTTAACTCCGTAGTTCAACCTTTTCTGTTATCAATGATAACAAGAAACACACATTATCTTGCCCAGTTACCTGTGAGTAAGCCCTCGACACCTGCTGAAAGACTTCATCATCAGGTGACCGGCTGTACTGCGATAGCCCCTCTTTGTCGTCATCGAAGGGGTAGTTGACGACCAAGGAGCCTAATATTCCACAAATCAAAGATAAGCCAAACCAGCTAAAAATAGATATGTACATCAGAATTATGATTAACATATGTTTGCTAGGAATAACTTGTTCAACTAACGTAGCCTAATATTTAGACTTAAGTGTGGATCCAAAGACAAAACTTAAAATCACAACAGCATTCTTCTAGGTCTATTGGGGTAGAAATGTCCAAATAAGTGAGAGAAAAAAAACAACTAAACGAGCAAAAGATGCAAATACAAACACAATATTTCAAATGAACTTAATCTATGAATGAATGCAGAACCGAGGCATCACTGTCAAATAGCAGAACTGACACTGAGAGACTTCAATCTTTGCCACTAGAGATCGATATGAGAGCGTACCTCCATGAAGGTTGGCTGACAGGGTGAAGGGGATGCTCTTCACCCAGTTCATCACAGCTATAGTTTCTGGCTGGCGAGTCTCATTGCTGGTAAAATACTGATCAGGGAAGTTGCGGTTCAGGTCCAACTTGTTGCTGTTGTTGCGTCCTTTGTAACCCTTCACGTCACCTGTGAGGAAAAGATGACTAGCGATGAGTTACGTACAAAGATCCCCACCTGTAACCGCAGCATGTTCCTGCTGATGAGACACAACCTCAGCTCCACCCGCCCTTTACTTCCCGACATATGTCAGAAGCAGCCGCAAGCTAAAAGACATTGGCAGACGGACGAGGTGCTTTGGGAAAACGTCCCCAGTCTTTAAAAAAAAAAAAAGTTCACATAATTGGTGTTTGAACATAAATGTTTACACAACTAAAGCCATTTAAACCGGGCAATTAGGAGAAACTTTAGAATGTAAAGAGATCATATGTAAGGATATACCTTCTTGGAAAATACATTAAAAGGAACATTCCATAAACATTTATTGAATAAAGGGAGGTTTTGCAAGCACCATTTCCTTTGCCACTCAAAGAACATAAGTCAAGTGATCAAATTACTGTTCAAAACCTGTAATTTCACATTCTTGCTTGATTATTCAAAGCAACATACTTGACAGCTGTGTGACCTGCATAGGAAGATAATGTCACAAGGCTTATATTCATACTGTGCACATAGTGTGACGATCTGGTGGCCTGTAAAATACCTTCCTGGTGTATCCCTTACCTTCAGTGGCTACCTCATATCCGTCGGGGTTCATAGAAGGCATGATGTGGATGCGGGTGTTGTTGACCAACTGAGTGACCTCCGTGTCAGTACCATAGTTACGGCACAGGTACTCAATGAGGTTGAGCAATAGCTCCCGGCCCACCACTTCATTACCGTGCATGTTGGCAATATACTTAAACTCTGGCTCACCTGCCATGAAAACAAAAAAAAGAAGAAGTGGCATTGAACATTTCTGTTAATAGATCGACATGTAAATGACAAAGAAGTAGCCCCACTCCGTTAATCAACCCACACACACCATGCTCGTGGACCGCGGGGTTGTCCGAGATCGCCATCACAAAGAGCTCCCGGTTCTCCACGGAGTGGCCGATGCTGTAAAGATGGGCAATGGAGGGGAACTCGCTGCTGTACTTGCGCAAGAACAGCTGCATGTCCGAGTAGCCGTGGTGACGGAACTCCTGAGGCTGGACGGGCTGAGGTTCGGGCGAAAGTACGGGGGGGCTGCTGTTGCTCGTTGCCTCCGGAACCACCTGGGTCCGGGTGGAGTCAGAAGAGTTGGTGGTGGTGGAGAGGTTTCGACCATCGGTGGACGGCATGGCGTGTGTAGTCGCAGTGACACCACGAGGACCCTCATTGGCCACGGGTGCCAAGGTAAAGTTGAGTTCTGTGGCTGTGCCCTCGACGACCGCAACACCGAGGACTGTCATGGGTGCGTACCTGTGAACAGAAACAAAATTAAATAAACAAGTAAATGAGTAAATACCCAGAGTACATGACACAACAAAAACAGCATGTAACTGTAGTTTCCTTCTCAAGTGTTTACCAGGAAGTCATACCCCGATGAACTTATGACGTATATTATTCTTAAGAAAGAGGAATGCAGCAGTTGCAGGACACTTTTTAAATCAGAGGAGCCAGATTACAGATTTTGCTGTGGGATTTGGCAACAAGCAGCAATGAATGCAGCACTCGCTGTGTTGTCAGCCTTTGCGAAGGCAAATTTGAAGCCCGAATATCATTTTCCATTAAGCGCCATTTTTGGAAACCTGCTGTGCAAAGGAAGTTCAATAGTATTACTGACCCTGGGGCCGCAGCTGTAATGTTGTATGTTCCTGGGAGCAGAAGGCGGTAGTACTCCCCGTATTTTCCTGTGGTCAGGTTGTGGTGAATGCTTGTTACCACAATGCTGGCATTGAAGAGGGCGGCACCATCGACGGCGTTTTTCACGTAACCACGGACACCTATATGCACCTGGAGGACAGGGAATTTGTAAATACCAAGAGTACCTGGCTAATATGGAAAAATGGTAGTTTCATGCTGTGTCTGGATTGTGGCATTATCGTTTGAATACAACAGAAAAAGGAAGATAACATTATGAGTGCTAGTGTATCACCAGTGCTTTTCTTAGTTATAAGCGCTACCTTTTCTATGTAGGCTAGAAGGGATTCCCTGTTCAGATTCCATTCCTTACGGAGCTCGGAAGCAGGGGGATATTTGCAGCAGCTCAACTCCATTGTGATTTCCAGACAGTTACCATGCAGGTAGTTGTAGTCCTGCATCCCACCTAGGTAACGAGTAATAAAATGAGGCTAGAAATGGAATAAAACAGTCAATTCAATATTATATACGTGATGGAGAAGAATGTGTGTCAATCCAGGAAGGGGTTGGCGTACAACATGCAAACGTAAAGTAAAATCAAGACTTGCTTCGCTTCATTGCACCCCCACTGGAGCTCATATTTGTCTCCTAAATGTCACAGTTTACAGATCGTGTTGCACGTGGCAACAAGCCATGACATCTGCCGTTAGGCAAACAGAAAGACGAGGAGGAGGGGTCCGCTGTTCCGCTGCCCATCCCACTGGAGCGGCAGCAGGCAGCCACAGACTCCCCGGCTGGAGGTTTGCCATGACTGCCTGCAGGAGCACAGTGAATCACTGACCTCATTCCACTTTGTAATGGGGCTGTAACACTAGCAAATAACTTCAGCAAAGCAACCAGCCTGCCACCCGTCTCCGGAAGGAAGACATCAACCATGCCACAGCGGAGGAGAACGGCCTTAACCGATCTGTGATGCCCAACAAGATCAAATCCACCTTTAAGACCTTAAATCCACAAGATTTCACAACGCTGTGGTGCACAGTGAAACATTATTTAGTTAAATCTCTATTTCAATCATTGCCAGGAATTCAGGCTTCAGCACATTTTAATACAATATGGACATGGAGTTCTTGCAGTAGAAAAAAAAAAAAATGCATCCCGGAGAACAGCTGCAGGCTGTAATGTGGTAGACGGCTTGGCTTGGAGTACAAAATATACACCACAAACACGAGTTCCTCAAAGTCATCTCCGAGTCAAACGCAGCAGTTCAGCACTGAAACTATGCCGGCTCATTCGCCGGAAACTGCAAAAACAAAAACAGTGAAGTAGCAATCAAGAACTCTTAAAAAGGTCATCTGAGACGCGTTTATAAACTGTACGCTTGGCATCGGTCCGACAGAGCAGATTTTATTATAGATACAGCAGGGGCTTCCCCACTGTATGCACCTGAGTAAGCCTCCACACTGAGCTGGTTGATACGAAGAGGGACCCAGGACGGCACTGGCCGTGCCCCTCTGGGCTTATTTGGAACGTGGCGGTGTGTGGAGGTGTGCTGGGATAAGTCAATAGAGGTTTTACCCCCCTGTGGGGGCGGCAGGCAACCGTTTGCCTTGTCTACGAAAACAAATCTCACCCGTTAATGAAGCGCTAATAACTCTAGAGCTACATCCAGCTGTGACAATGGGAGGAAATTCATACATGACGGCACCTTCACGACAAACAACTCAAACCCTCTTGTCCGGTCACAAGACGTTAGGCGTTGTCCTGTGCTAAGACACTTTAGGTACGGATCGCGTATCGTTTACTTCAAGTAAACAACACCACCCCCCCACCGAAGGCCAACATAGCAGGACAAACACAAAGACAGACCATGGCAGACTCTGCCTTAAATATCCTGTATATGTACCGGGTCCAGTGACACACCCGGGAAATGGAAGAAAACCACCGGCGGGGCGTGGGAGCCAAAGTCAGAGCTGAACTTGCCGTTTAACAAACAGGAATGTTTAAAAAGAAGGGTTCATTTATACAATGAACAAAAAAAACAAAAAATTAGAATCCCGCGGGGCTGAAAAACCCTTTAAAACACTACCATTGTCATATGATTTATAGCTATCAGAAGTCTGAACATCAGACCATCACAGCAATACAACTGTGTTTCCACACAGTAAAATTATATTCTGGACCTCGTGTCTAAAGACAGTGACGTGTGTCTCAAAACAAACATTACAACCAACAGTTTGGAACAAATTCACCAAAACAAGTTACGCTCTTTCAAGACTCGCCAGTGAATTACACAAGTCGGGCAATGCGCAAGTGGAAAAAGCAAAGCAAAAGCTTACAACCAGCACATACATATATGTTTATTTATTTCAGCAACACGGAGTCCTAGTCATGTGTTGAGGGTTAAATGAACCACGACACAGCTCGAGGAAAGAACGTCCTCCGAGGCCACGCTGCGTTGAGAGATTATGAGTCAAGATAACGCGTTATGCTGAATCATTATTCCAGGCCTGCACTGGCACACAGAAAAGCTTCTGTCCCCGACTCCTTGTCCCGGCCTTTTCTCGGATTCTGAGCACTCATTATGTCACACAATGTTGCGGACGTTTCCCCTCAACTGCCATTAGCCCAGTTTTAGCAGGGACGTTTGTAAAAAGGGACATATATATTGTCAGAGACGTGACAGAGACGAGCATAGTCGGTTTACCTACATCTCGGTATTGTTGCTGCTAGGAGCTTTAGGAACTCCTGTTGTTACCTGAGCCGCTCTGAATATAGGCCATTTAGGGCGATAAGCATTAGCAAACTTTTGCCGTTGCATAAAAGTGTGGGCTTTAGTTTGGTAATGATTAACAGCTCCAGTTCCTCGTGATAAACGAATAGTGTGACACGCCATCACATTTGTTCCAGGTTAAAGTGATCTGCAAATGAACAAATACCATTTTTTTTGTGGGATCTTGAAAGTGTGCGTGCGATTATCTACACCTTCATTGCAACAGCTACTACATTTGTTCTAAACGGTCACAAAAGTACACGCATACTACATGTTTGAAGGTTACTTTAAATATTATCCTGATGGAATTAGGCCGACTTGGACACAACGCATGCTGATCCACGGGGAATCACCAATGGCAAGAAAAGCTATCCTTATCTACAACAAAGAACATTTCAACAGGAAAAGCTGTGCGGGGACCTGAAGTTGCATAAACGTCACCACCTGCCAACCCCCACCCCCCCCCCGGAAAAGAAATCAGCCGAACAAAAGTAGAGAGAAAGCTGATCAGGTTTCTGCCCTGTCGGTGCAGAGTAAAACCTTTCAACACGTCCTGCATTCACCGAAGCTATTTGAAGACACTTTAATACACCCGACTGAGCCCTCATGGCAAACCTGATTACTACTGTTACACGTTAAGGAATTACTGTCTGGAAAAACATTGAGTTTACAGATTACCCGTAAACACCAATACTAGGCCAAACTACTCAGTGCAACAATGAATTGAGTACAACTGGGATTTTTGAGCTAATTAAATGAGGAAATAAAAAGGTACAGGCACCGGCTCCAAAAAGCTCTGAGAAGCATGCTGCAAACCGACCGACTGCAAAACGCTGAGGGACATTCTTCACTGTCAAATGGGTAGATGACAGCAACAAAAGGGTTAGACTGCCGTAATCACATTTTACTCCTTCAAGGGCTTTACTTTCCTGCTGTGAAAAACAAATGAAACCCTTGAAGCCGACGGGAGAACAATGACAGGAAAAAAAACACATCATCTTCTACCACAGAGGCTCTTTCTTCTAAGGAAGAACACGGCCATCCTATCTATCCCTCTCCATGGTAACTGTATAACATGCAGGTTGTTGTACCTCTTAAAGCTCTATAACAAAAAGGTGAGAATGTGCATTGAAGTCCATCGGAGACGTACAGGATGTGACCCCCAGAAGCCGGACCGGCAGCGGCCACATCCTCACCTTACAGACAGAATTTCTGGCCACAGTTATTGGCTCTCTGATCACCACAGAAAAAACAACAACAACTTACCAGGAACGTCATACCACTGAGCCCCATTGATGATGCCGTTTTCAAAAGTTTCGTCCGGGGAATCGTCGCAGTTGGGCACGCCGGTCTTCATCCCGGGGTGGTTCTGGGAATACACCGAGGCCAAGTACCGGAACAGTTTGTCGTCCTCCGCCTTGCTGTAGTGGCCCTGCTGCTGGTGCAAGGCGGAGTCATCAAACGGGTAACTGGCGACAACAGTGCCGCCGTGCAGGTTCCCCGACAGTACGAACCTTGAGAGACAAAAGAAGTATAGGTTCAAGCAGGTCTTACTTCCATGCACGCATGTAAAAAGGTACATGGAAATAATTCTGCTGTGAGAAGAGTTCATTTGAACCAATAATGGCTGTATTGGGATTGCTGAGAACTAGAAATTGCTTGTAGTTTTTTCTTGAAACGTGACTCAAACCAGTACACAGGTAGGAAAGGCGTTATGAAGATTTTCTGCAGATTGACTAATCAAACAAACCACTTTTGTGTGCACCTCAGTCACACACACACACACACACACACACACACACACACACACACACACACACACACACCATGTGGTTATCGTTCCCCTGTTTTTGTCTTGTCAACACCAACATACTTCTAACTGCAGATCACATCTCCAATTCCTCCAGCGTGAGAGATCGCATTGTCCCAGAACAAGCAACGTGGTGTCACATGCGTGCACCGCAGTGTGTGTGTGTGTGTGTGTGTGTGTGTGTGTGTTTCACAGAAGAGGACAGACTCACTTCATCTCCTGGATCCACTTGATCACAGCCGTTACCTCCGGGACGGTGTCCGGGTTGACACTTGTCCCGTCGTACTGGTCCGGAAAGCTCCTGTTGAGGTCCGCATTTCGGGCGTTGTTTCGGGCCCGGCTGCTGCCCCCGCAGTCCCCCTCCGCGGCCCGCTCGAAGCCGTCCGGGTTCATGCTGGGCATGATGTAAATATCCGTGGTGTCCACCAGCGCGGTGATGCGCGGTTCCTCTCCGTATTTTGTCAGCAGGTCCTCTACGAGGTACACCAACACCTGCCGGGACACGGTCTCGTCCCCGTGCATGTTGCCGACGTATTTGAATTTGGGTTTCCCCGGTGCGTCTCCGCGGGGGTCCTCGGTGATCCGCATCACCCACAGCTCCCTGCCCTCCACGGAGCGACCCACGCTCGACAGGTTAGCTATGCGGGGGTATTTCTGAGCTAAGGACCGCAAGCGCCCGGTCAGGTTTACGTAATTATAGTAAGCGTTGTAGGTTTCCACCGTTTCCTCCGTCGAGGGGGGGACGCTGGGTGTCCGTGGGTGCCTGGCGTCCCCGAGGGAGACAACAAGGAGGAGAAGAAAGGCGAAAAGTGACGCCGGAGGCTCCGCAATGTGCACCATGTTGACCTGTCTTCTCTTTTCACACCATTCGGACTTTCGAATCAAAGACGAACAAACAAGTCCGGAGAGTTTGGAGCCCCAGAGGCAGGTTTATGTTTGCTGTCAGATCGGTGTGGCCTGTTCCCATCTACTTCCGCCCATCTCAGAGGGGCGGGGCGTCGCGGTGACGTCACGTTTTAAGGTCGGCCGGTGGAGTTTGACTAATGTTTTTACCATTTTGTCCCAATTTCGTACATTTAACGTGTAAAGTAACGTGCCGGCGGCTGTATATTTTTGGGTAATGTGCTGCAAATTTGATGTGAACGTATACTAATGTAGCTTTATAGGCAAATTAATTAAAAGTTTATGTAAGAGCCATTTTTGTTCTTGTTTTGATTGTTAGCTCCACCCCCTTAGGTGGTGGGAGGTTGTTTCAATTAGGCTGCAAGGTCAAAATAATCAGGTGGATTACCTGGCACAGGGGTTGGTGTTGGTGAGAAGCGAAATAGTTTTTGAGCGTGAACGTGAAGTGTGGGCGTGAACGTGAAGTGTGGACGTGAAAGTGGAAGGTGGAAAGTGAAGCGTGGAACGAGAGCGAGGAGCGTGAGCGTGACAGAGTGAACGTGACAGGGTGGAAGAGGCATGTACAAAGATAATTGCATGGTGTCATTAAAGAACAAAATAAAGCACAATGAAAGAAGTGGAAATGTCTCAAGGAGTAGTTAAATGCGTCAAAACAAACTCAAAACACCAACCAAGGGGACCTAACTTTGATAGGCAAGAAAGGGTCTCTACAGTTTATATAAAGTTTAATGTTTGCTTTAGCTTTTTTCCCCAACAGTCAAAGGCAACACATTTTCTGTTGAATTATTCATTTCACTATAGGATATATGGAGCAGAAAGGCCGGTCTTTTGTCTTAAGGGGATCTGTGCTTTGCCTCATTTAAAACATTATTGACTTAATGTGTTCAAACCACTCTTTGCTTAAAGCAAACACAAGAAATTTAAAAATGCTACTTTGACTCGTTGATGAGCTTTGACAGTATTAATCCTCGGTTGGATGATATTCTCACATACAACAAAATCTTGCTCATGATTGTCAGTAGCACTGACAAAATGTTGCTAATGTTAATGCATGCATTATTTCCATATCTCCTACTGAATATTTTCAGTCAGTCAGTAAGGCAAGGGTTATTCTGATTTACACTGCTCAGCTTTTCCACAAGCTTTGTGTTGATTTATGAGCACCTTTTTGTGTAAATTAACTTCAATAAACAACTTTCCAAAAGCAGAGAATGAAAATAAATCACACTTGAGCATCATGGTTAGCAGCAGACTCTTGTATTTCTGTTTATTTTGTGTTGCCCATTCCTTTTTATCACTGGTAAAACCGTCTTTACCCACAAGTATGAGGAGCAATGACTGAGTGACATCTCTACCCTGCTGCCATTCAACCTTTAACTTCCTTCTCTTCTCACTTTAGCAGTGTGTCGGTCAGCAGCTTCTCTTCAGTGACTATTTTTTGTCCATGATTGTTTCCATTATTTCTGCTTATTTCTATTTGGCAATGGCAACAAAACAAAAGTGCGATACACATCTTGATTGGGAAGCACCAGCAAAGTGTCAGTTCAGTAAGGTCTGACAGTGCTGGGTAAAGCTTGGAATGACTGGGTTAACGGGGGGGCGGGGGGGGGGGGGGGGGGAAAAAGAGGTAAAAAAGAAAAAAACGCTGCCGGTTCTCATTTGTGGATTCCACCCACCGACCGCCCCCGGAAGGACTGAGCATGGGAGCCCCACTCTCTGTAATGTTTGTACTCGCCGCCATGACGATCACACTCCATGATGTACTGGTAACCCCGGTAACCTGGGAACTGGTAGCACACCCAGCTGGAGGAGGAGGAGGAGGAGGACGGGGAAGGATGGGGTGTTTGAAGGAGGAAATTAAGCCGGTGATTAGTGATGATGAAAATAACCACACTTCAGAACTGTGGGAGAAGAAAACATGTGTCCTTCCTGTCGTGGAGAGAATGTAGGCCGCTTCGTTGGAAAAAAGGATCAAATGAAATGTTTGGAGTTATACAACATAAACCATACAGAACGATGAATCCCTTTGAAAACAAAAAAGACACCTCAGAAAGTTTAACCTTAATAATTACAAATAGACTGACTATATGAATTCGTAATTAATAATGAAATACATCATTTTCTACTGAGCGATGGGATCAGGTGGCGTTTTTTGTTGTTGAGGTGTGTTATTTTAAGATATACTGTGCCATGAGAGATTAAATGTGGCTACATGTTGGTTAATGGCAACATTTGTGAAAAGTGAAAAGCCTGAAGTTGAAATCCATCGGGGTCGAGACTTACGATCCACTCTGAACTTGCATAGATCCAATCTCGTTGTTGCCCCAGCCCATCGCCTGCAGAGAGGGGTAGTCATCGTTTATCTCCCACTGGCGTCCCATGAAGTTCTCCTTCTCAAACAACACCATCTTGGACTCCTTGTGGTTCTGTGTGCACATGATGCGAGAAAAGACAAGTTATCAATACATGGGCCTATCCATCTCATTTGTGTGGGAAGTTCACAATCTAATTTGTGGCTTTTCACCGCAGACACCAAGTGGGTTAATTTGATCAGTTAAACTTAGTCCATGAGACATCAACCGCAGGGGAAAGAGGAGCCTTTGGAGTGGGACAGAAAACTCACAGCAGAGCAGATGGGGCGGAAGGACATCATCCTCTCAATGTGGTAGGCGTTGCTGCCGCTCCATGACTCCCAGTGAGGATACTCTCCTCTCTCCAACACAAACTGCTGTCCACAGAAGCTGGAGTGCTCATATCCTGCCCAGCTGTCCCCAGCAAGCAGACACGTACACACAAAACACACGTGCATTAGGACACTTCAGAGAACAGACCTATGATCCGATATTGGATCTGCTGAACATTTCAATTGTTTCAGAATGTACATGTTTTCCCTGTAGGTCATGTGTGTAATATTCTGCAGAGCTCTTGGTTTGACTCACGCTCCACACTCCAACTTCAGGGAGCGGATGTTGTCAACGCCACACTCCATGATGTTCTGGCAGGCTGAGGTAAACTCCAGACGCTTCCCTTGGAAGTTCTCCTGGTCATAAACTGTGATCTGGAGAGGACACAAATGCATACATGTAGTATGCACATTCCACACACACACACTGATGTGTGCACAGACACACACGTATCATTGACATGGTCAGGCCGGGCGTGAATTTAAAAAGAATCTGCTTTTGTTAAGCATCAATGGCAAGACATGACACTCACCTTCCATGGTCCCATTGGGTTGGGATTATTCAGAGCCATGTTACTGTGTGTCTCAATGCGGATTTGCCTTCATTGTAGAGAGATGGGAGGATTACATGGTCAACTTAAACTCATTCAGCAGGAAGAATCCTGGCCTCTATGAAAGAACATATGGCCTACGTGGTCTACAAAGGTCTGTCGAATGAAAAGATGGAGATGAGGGGCTTACCTGACCGGCCCCAAAGAATAGCAGCGCAGTCCTCACTGTGGGGGCTTCACAAGCACGATGTCCCGAACCCACATTAAACGGACCTATTTATACATGCTGGTGCTGAAAAGCAGCTGGGCCCGTTGGTCGGGGCAGGGAGTCAGCACATTGCTGTACTGGTCATTGTTCAGCACTGAGCTGCCGGGCTTTAGTCCGCTACATTCGGACTGGATGGAGGGCACCGTGCCCAGTGCATATAAGCACAAGTTCCAAACGGTCAACAATCAGCGGGCCAAACCCAAAAGTCCTGGTCCAGGGGACAGATCATCCCAGAAGGGAATGTCTCGCCAGTGACTCTGCTGCAAAGGGAAATAACACATTTACTGACAACGTGTACAGCAAACTGATATGGCAGACCACTAACAGATTGCCTTAGCTTGGTGGTGGTACTAGAATATGTGTCCTGAAAAGACTCGAAATTGTTTGAAAATATGATTTAGATTTGCATTTGAGTAGCTGACCTACTGAGTTCTTCCACACCGAGCTGTGATCTGTCTCCGACCTGCACGCCATGTCCGCGTCAACTGACCCCATGTCTCTGGTCCTTTCACCCTTTCACTCACGCCTATATACAAACATGCTCAGTCATGCACACACACAGTCATGGAGCGAAAGAGGAAAGAGGAGCCTGTTCACGCCGTCAGATATACATTCAGAGCATACAAAGAAACTCACACACTTACAGATCCGACTTATCCATTAAGACCTTGAAGTCAGTTTACAACTTTAAATTTAACTTTATTATATTCAACCTTTTTTTTACTCCTCATCAATACAAAATAACTAATAACTAAAACACCCACTGTTGCCTAAATAGGCTAGAAAATCTCATTTTCATAGCATTTTATACATCAATTTAATTCATCACAAATACTAACCTACAGGACAGTGTTTTCTGAGCAGTACAAACACCTCACCTTCTAAAGTGCAGTAGAGACTATCATAGTTATGAACATATTACAGAACTACATCCGGTATACCATTAATACTCATTCAGTATCTATGTTTAAATACCCTTGTCTGACTGGTTTGATATCCCATCGGGGTAAGCTGATCATTCTCATGTGTGCACATGAGAGATTCATGGAGATTCATGGCTGCATAGTCAAACATCTGTGGACGATTTCTATTCAAATATGCACACAAATGACACAAGTGTGTAAGTGGTGTGTTGTGAGGTGTATATGTATGTAAACTGCCTGTCTGTACAGCACTATAATTCACACAAGAGTGTCCAGCACCGGCCCCTCGGGAACAATAGAGCGATGGACGCCGCTCCTGCAGTCAGCACATTACACACGCAGGGCTCAAAGGCTTGGACCGCCTGCACCGAGGATCAAAAGAAAGAGACACACAAAAAGAAAAAGCCGATCACAGAGAAACTCGCTGAAATAAAAGAGGGGAAGAAAAAAGAAAGAAAATAAAGAAAAAATTTAGATATAAAGTGAGAGTATTGTGCGCAAAAGTAAGTGACTGTGTGCGTGGGTTTGTGTGTATGTGTGCGTTTGTATGAATGCGCGTGTGTGTGTGTGTGTGTAGGAAAGCAAACTTTCTGCTGATGGCAGTGACCGTTCCATGGTCCCCCACAATGGTGCTGGACAACAAAGCAGGAAGCCGCGTCAGCACGACTTGCCTGTAGATAAGGGGCGTGACCTTTGACCCCGCATCATGCTCCAAAGAGCACACAGCCAATGAGAAGTGAGAATTTTGCCTCTGTAGACATGGCACGGATGTGAATGTATATATATATATACCCAGTCGCAACGCCTGCGTCCATCAGTTTCTCCCAAGGTCGGTCCTGCAAGTGTAACTGTAAGTTTCCACTTTAGGTTTTATAACTTTTCAAAAACTGCTAAAATCGCTGGATATTTGTGGTGCTTCTGAGGTTTCCCTTGTCTGCTCATGCTTTGGACTGAAAGAACTAAGCAAATATCGGCTTCTTTTTTAACCATTAACTTTGAACTGGGCAGAAAACACAGCCGGGTGTGATTTTACATTTCATTGCTGCTGTTACGTTCAGTTGCCTCCTCCTGGGGTGAGATGTAAAAGAAGCTATGCTAAATCCTTTATCATTAAAAAAAGGATCATGGAAGGGTTGGACGGATCTTTTTTATGTTGCTAGTTAATATCTTAACTTCTTAAAAGCTCAACTAGCAGCTAAGTTGCTATTTTTCTCTCCTATAGTGTCCTCCATGGTCGGTCAGTACATTGTGACATCATTGTCGGGTGCGGTTACAGAGCCTCACTCAACCACACTCATCGGGGAGAGTGTTAGTTAACCGTTTAGAGCCCTTGTAATTTCAGCCTAATTTGACAGAAAAACATCACACTTATAGCCTAAAGGTACAGTACATCTAGAAATACATTTAAAGAAGAAATACTTTATGAACAAGACAATATTTCCTTTTTAGCCAAAAGGCAATGAATGAATGAAAGTTGGCTTGGGGGGAACCAGACTGACTGACCTTGTGCTTCTGTCTCTAGATCTGATCATGTCTCACTCAGGTGCTCAAGGCAGTGTTGGCAGCCACTCTGCCATTGGCCTGCGCAATAACAAGGTGCTTCTACTAATCACTTCTTTAAATTTATATCCAAAATGAGGAACTGAAAATATTTCAGGGATTAATGCAAACGGCTCGTTTTACTTTTCAGATGTACCTCTATGAATTTGAGAACTTCCAAGGCCGTAGGATGGACGTGTCCGGAGAGTGCAAAAACCTGTGCGAGAAGGGTTTCGATAGAATCGGCTCCATCAGAGTAGAGTGTGGACCGTGAGTCGACGCGCCTGCCTGTCGAAACATGCGATACAACACTGCGAAAGAATGTTCTAAATGAATCACGGATTTCTGTCCTTCCCTCCAGCTGGGTGGGTTATGAGCAGCAGAACATGACCGGCGAGATGTTCATGCTGGAGAAGGGAGAGTATCCCCGCTGGGACACCTGGTCCAACAGCTACAGGTGTGACCGCTTTATGTCGGTCAGACCCGTCAGAATGGTGAGTTGTCCAGCTCCATTTTCTCCATCTAAATGTTGTCACAAGTCAAAGTGCTTTTTATGGATGCGCTCGTACTGAATGTGTATTCAAAGGCTGATTTCATTTTTATTAGCTGGCATTTCTTTTGTCACTATGTTTATTCTGACAGGGGTTTGGTACTGTCTTCTAAAAGAGCATCACTATCCAGTTGCACGGCACACGTGCACAGCGCCTGTGGGAAAAGCAACAGTCACTAACTTAAATGGGATTTGTGTCTATCGCAGGATCCCCAGGATCACAAGATCTGCCTGTTCGAATGTCCCGGCTTCGAGGGGCGTAAGATGGAGGTGTGCGATGAGGATATCCCCAGTCTGTGGTCTTACGGCTTCCAGGATCGCGTTGCCAGCATTCAGGTCACCGGTGGAACGTAAGACCCTTCTGTCCATTTCGGGGCGGGGCGGATCAGCTAACAAAAGCATATATATACAAAACGTATATCTTATTTGAGTCTCTCCCTACTTCCCCCTCGCAGCTGGGTGGGCTACCAGTACCCCGGCTACCGCGGCTACCAGTATGTGTTTGAAATGGGCCCATACAAGCACTGGAACGAGTGGGGAGCCAACCAGCCCCAGATCCAGTCCATCCGCAGGGTGAGAGACATGCAGACGCACCGCAGGGGCTGCTTCGAGATGGCCGCGTAAAGAGTCCAGCAGGACGGGGGTAGCGGAGGGGTCAGGGCTCGCCATGCTGCTAACCATCCCTTTGGGAATTCTCCAACCGCCACCCAGCCACACAAGCACACTGGCTTTTGAATATTGTTGATGCTTTTACCGGCTGGTTTTGGGAGTGTGTGGCATCACGAACGATTCCGATCGTCACGGACTTCCAGAGTAACTGTAACACCGGGTAAAAACTGAAACAATACTCTCTGTCTACAGACCTCGTGGAGAGATTATGGAAGGCGGATTATCGGGGATAGTTTGTGTTTATTAGTTTGTTTCAATGCTATTAATCAACCTTTTATTTTATTTTTATTTACTTGCCTACGTGTTTCTAGCCGACATGACGCCAATAAGCTGGTTCAACAAAGCGTTCTACTCCTGCACTCCTGGGATCCACAGATTTCAGAGAGTAAAAGGACGAACGATCATATCATTCCTCACAGAGTACCACCACGGACAGCTCTCAGCCGCGCAGTGAGTCTGCCCGGCTGAGGGAGGCAGTGTGTGCTCATCTCAAAGCAGCCGGCTCACTTCACAGCCTGTGAACAACCAGAGAAAAGAAAAGTGGCTGCGCCGGGGTTGTTGTTTGCGGATGTGATTATCTTTTGGCTTCATCTCATCGATGGGGCCGTCCGGAAAGATTTGCATATTACACTTTCTCAGGGATGTCGGCATCTGGAAAGCAACTTTCCAATGAAGAAAAATTAAATAAAAATATTATAAAGCTGCTTTTGTGCATTTGATTTTCATTGAGGGTCGGTCTCATACTCAGATGTTATTTAAAGTATCACTCATTCATATTTTTGGTTAATAGTTGTAGTAGATAAAAGGAATGTGTGCAATGTAAAGATACTTAACTTGGCTTTGTGTCTCATCCCGAAAAGGTGTACGACTTTGCTGTTTGACGTTCTGTCTTGCTGCTGTTTTCATCAATACATTTCCAATAAATCAAAAGTAAATGACATGTCAAACAAAGTTATAGCCTTGCTGGAGCATTTTGCGGTGTTGGACTAAACTTGCATTTCACATGCGTCTGCTCGGTGGTTACTTGGGAGCATAACGACATTGTAATCCCTCAATATGTATGCAGATGTTTCCCCATAATGCTGCTTTTAAAAGCCACACCTCTACACAATATTTGATTTCAACTTCAGGTTCTGGGAAGCTGAAATGCACAGTGAAGAACGTCCATCTTTTATGCACGATACTACCAATTTATCGAAACCAAATGTTATTTCCACATGTTATTTCTGCCCCCCTCCACACCCCCACGTGAACCTCCTCCTCACCGGATGTGGGACCTCATACCGAGTAATCGGTTACCGTTCCCGAGTAAAGCCCGGCCGACGCACGCGCCGGCGAATCAGCGGATGACGAGGCGCGAGACGCACCGGTTTAAAGCCGCAGGATTTGGATTAAATAGCTTGTGAGGGAACCGATGAGCCCTTAGGGGGCGGTAGGGGAGGGGAGGGGGGGAGCTAAGGCGCTGACTTTTATCTTTTACCGGATCGAGAAGGGGAGGAGGCGCGCAGAACACGAGTTATTCTCGCTGCGGCACCGAGCCTGTTTACCGTGCGGCGCAGTAGCCAGCGGCGCAACTGGGGGAAAAAAAAGGCTGCGACGCGCGTGAAATCGGGTCCCGCGGCCACGACGCCGTAAAAGCATCCGACAAGCGATCAGCCGCCGCCAGGTCGCCTCGCCGCAGCAGCCTCTCCTCCGCCGGACATGAAAGTGCAGCAGGGCTGCCACTCGTCGAACATGGGCATCCCCGTCACCACCGAGGAAGAATTGCGCAGAAATACCGTAATAACGCCCGACGACGTGCTCGGGCTGCAGAAGATCACCAAGAGTGAGTAACCTTCTACAGCGGTCTGCGCGCTGGGGAGGGCGGTTTAAAGCCGCGCGGTCTGCGGACACAGGGGGGGGGGATTAGTGCAGCCCACCTGCCGATGCGTCCTTGCCGGTTGTCTTTTTTAACAAAAACAACAACAATGTGACACATCCACTGCGTTCATTTCGCGTCTTTGGTGGATTGTCTGGAGGAGCAAGGCTCAGATACCATGGACAGCGACACAGACACGTTCTCAAGCCTCTGGCATGTGTGGGTGTGTGTCGCGGGCGCAGAGGTCAGGCTGCCATTTGATTTATTTACTATTTGCATCGGACATTAAATAGAGATGTTTGCATATATCTGTCTCTGAGTATGTGGATTAGGTGTTGGAAAACGAGGAGAAGGTGATTTAGTAGTTCCTGGTGTGCTTAACAAATGGGTGAAAAATAAATCTGGCTCTTACTTCATCCTCACCACGAGACACCTGTGGCTCAGAGGTAACAGGTGGCCAGAGATGTGATCCACTGATTATAGCTGGTCACAGACTGTAGTCAGCACAGGAGAATACTATCGGCCTCTTTATGGAAACAGTTTCCGGATTATGTCATGGAAACAGGACAAAGCGGTCAACGGAGGAGTTTAACACATTTTGAAATTATTTTTAATGGGTTTAATATACATTTCTTTCTAGTCATAAAAACACTTTTGTTTGGATTTAGAGTAAGATTGAGACTTAAATGGAAATGTAAAACAATGTAGGTTGAAGTACAGTTTGCAGACGTGCCCGGGAGTCAAAAGGAGGCCTACGGAACGTAACCGGTTCAAAGAAAAAAAGAAAGCCGTTAGTTATACTTTGCAAGTCTAATGATCAAAATTTAAATTAGTTATTGACCCTATTAATTTGTCAAATTAACAGAATTAATCTTTAAACCAGGTGAAAATAAACGCGATGCAAGGGCTCCAGTAGGGCAATTATACCTAAATCGGCCACGACGGCGCAGTAGTCCCCGCTCTCCACTGACATTCCCCTAATCTGGATTATGTCAGGAGGCCGAAACGCAACAGGCCTCAGATAGTGACCCAGGAGCCGGGGCGTGAACAAGTTTATTAACATTGTGGATGTCGCAGTTGTTTTGTTCTGTAGGTTAGGTGCAAATTTGAATAGTAAAATATGGAGCATATTCTCAAAGATAGTTGATGGTCATGGATGACTTCTGTAACCCATCAACAATGATATTTATCCTGATCGAAGCATGAATGATGTCAGGGTCTCCTTTTATTCCACTTCCGTTTTTCCTGTTAAGTTTGAGCCCACAACAAAGTCTCTCCAAGGCCCAATTGTTTTAAACGTCGGAGCACACCACAGGGAAAAGCATAATTCATGCTATTGTGTTTTGCTGCAAGAGAACGAAAGGCGCAGCGTGAGAGGAAGGGAGCAGGAGATGCGTTTGCCCGCAGTGCAAATGACTTTTACAGTATTGCTTTTAGGGGCGAAATGCCACCATTTTGGGACATTCCGCTCCAGTTTGTCATGCTGGTTCAGTGCTGACAAGCGAGGCCGAGCGCCTTGTCGCCACACAGGCAGAACGGAGAAGAAATATAATCCAGGCAGCACAGAAGAAAATGAGACATTTACATGAAGGGTAATTTGGGATATGCAGGCAGGCATGTCACAAATTATCATAAGAAATGGTGCTGTTACAGAATATTTACATTCAGAATTATTGTAACCATGATAATAACAAGAATTTATGGCTGATGGCAGCAGAAAGGTAAAATAGAGTTATTACGATCAACATACATTTTTTAACAAACACCTCTGCTGTTAAAGGGATCCTTGTTTTGTCGTGTTCAGTGCGTTTCTGAAATTGTTATTTAGATCTCTGTTGTACTCTAATCAACCATCCCTAACTGTGTTTCCACGTTCTCGGTGCTCGGTGCAGGATTTCCTTCCGGAAAATGCTCTTTTGTCTTTCAGTGTGACGAGATTGTTCACAAAGTGTCGTTAAATTACCACACAACAGAGTACGATCCAAGAAGAGCTGTTTGAATAACAGATTGATGTGTCCAAAGGCTGTGCGGTGGTTTATAATAGGCCACTCAGACAGGATTGTCCAACTTGTGGTTATCATGCTGCCAAAGCTGCACATTAACTTTTCCTAATTAAAGGGATGAGGAGAAAGACCCAAATGCAGAAAATCTAAGAAATTACAATCAAAGCACACAAAGACAGGAAATAAAGCCAAATATTGACACAGAATAAGTCGGACCTCGTTCCGGTTTCTTTGGGGATGCAAAATCTCTCTCTTGATCCTGACTGAAAGAATCAACAGTGATGTGTATTTTGGCCCCGTCCAATTGATTTAGTCAGTACGATCCGGTTCCTTATAAACTAATGGGTGATCAATCGTTTGGTCTTAATAAGTCCGCAACACAGAGCAGGGCTTTATCTGCGCTGGGCGGGGATTTTCACCCTGTGATGTCTGCCAACAGAATGGATACAGCTTTAATTAAAATTGATTGGTGCAGCCAGCTCTTAATCTCACATCCACAGCTGTCACAAGGTTACTCTTTCATGGTGAACCGACGCGGCTCGTAGCATCCACATCAGTAATCAACACAATCTCATGAACTGCCTTTGTTTGTCCTCGTCCTCTCTCTCAGGCACACTGAGGATGTAATGAACAATTGACAAAGTTTAAGGTGCATTATGTCAGATTATCTTATAGAGTGCTGATATTTCTGACTGCTGTATGCATTTTGGATGTGAATTGACACTAATGGGGAAATACGCAGTTGACAGCATCATTATCTATCAAACTACTTCTATTCTTTGGTTTCGGTTCTCAATCTCAGACCGACAGGCAAAGAAGACCCTCTTTGTGAATAATCTCAAAGACCTCGTCGCAGAGCACCAGGGTACATTTATCAACAGTCCAAGTAGATTTTCAATAGCTTGAACAGTAAAACTACAGAATGTCGGCCAGCAGGATGCAGCAAGTACATGATCCAAGCTTAACGTTGCTGAAACCCTTTTTTTCTCAAGGCTCTACAGAATAAAACAATGGCTTCTTCTGACCCATCTTCACGCATCAACGCATTTGCTGCAGTTTGATACTCTAACTTCAATTAAGCCCTTTTTTTTTGGTTTCCGGTGCGTCCCTTCTATCTCAGAACCTCCTCAGTATGAACTTGCACTGGTCACAACACTTTTTCTCTTTTTAGATTGTGAGCCTAGAGGGAGGAAGACAAATATCGTGTGTCCCTTGTGTCTGTTAACCTCACAGCCTAAACACAGAATATATATGTATTCTGTGTGTGTGTCAGTGTGTGTGTTGTAGCGTAGATGGGAGTTGGATTGTACTCACTCTATATCCACACTTATAGGTTTCTGTTGTGAAACAGTTTGAAAGCGTAAACCTTCTGCATCGACTCAAGTGTTTGTTCATCTTTGTGAATCCTTTCATCCGCAAAAACATTATTCAGATGCACTGGATATATATTATACCGGTGTAAAAAATATTGTTGATTGGTTGCTTAGTTCCAGAAAATAGAACAGTTATTATATGATACTATTATTTAGTATAGTACCAGGAGTAAAAGGTCAAGCTTGATAACTCCGACTTAATTATAAGGCTGCATTTCTTGCTTTGTGTCTCTCACAAGCACATTATGTCTTTTCATTCAAACGCTTACAATTCAAAGTTGCAGAGATTAAGGGTCAATAGATTTGGTCAACACGTGTCTCTCACTTGTTTTCCTACGTTTCGTTCTTGTCTGTTCTCACACTCGTAGCTCTGCTGGTGGCTGAAATTCCAGTCGTACTTGAGAGCATTTATGCTTTCGTTCCTTTACAGTTACTTAATAGTCGTGCAGAACAACATGAGCCTTGCTACAAAAAGAGGAAAGTCATCTGTGCGTTTTTGACGTTATCATGAAATGTTTGCTGAGTTGCATGTCTCTACATTATCTTGTCTGTACACCTTTGATTAAAATATAGTTGTGTGGAACCTAGAAATGTGTGAATCCAACATGACAAACAATCCTAATTGACATTTCAGTGGCATCGCATCATGTGGTGCCGGTGCTTGTTTGCTCTCCTGCCACGAGTTAGAAGATCCTTCACCTCTGTTATCCTTCACATTTGTGTGCTGAAGATGATGCTAAAGACAGTTAACTTGCCTCACCTCAAAGAGTGTAAACAGCTCACAAAGCCCTACAAATTAAGCCTAACCAGCACTTCTTAAGCTCACCAATGTATGTACTTCACAGTGAGCTTTAGATTCATCTTAAAATTAAGAATGTCCCAAAATATTGAACCTTGTCCTTTTTGTCTCCGTGGTTCAGGGAGCTTAGATCACAGCATTTGTCCTCAAGTAAGTAGGGTTTTTTCCCACTGTGGCGCAGGCCGCAGAAAGATGAGAGGGAAGATTCTCATCTGCATTCAGCTGCTCTGAATGTAACCTCTCCACGAACTTCAGCGGTTTCCGCTCTGCCTGCAGGCGCCGTTAAAGGAGGGACATGTAACAGCCTGGCATGCACAGGTGCACTGCACAACGCTAATGTCACCTGCTGCCTTTGGCTATGGATTTCTTTCCACACATATCTGTAGTGTTCTTCCTCACGTTCTGGGTTTCATTCAACACGCGCTCTTCGTATTGATCGGAGACCCACGGGGTCAAATGGAAAGAATAAAGGATGTGAAGTCAATCCCTGTGCTGAGAATCTGTAACTCCGGCCTAATCTTTGAGATTAAGGAGCTATAAATGGCAGGATGCTTGCTCCTGTGAGTGCCACTATGCTGTCGGACAGGCTCTTTGTATCTGAACACAGGAACACTGCTTGACTCAAGACATGGGGCTAATTTTACTCTCTTTCGAGGGGCTGCAGCCACAGGGATATATTCAAGACCCATCGACTATTTAAGTCAGCGGAATGAAAATCATTAGGTTTAACTCAAATACGCTGTCGGATGAGATTGACTTAGAAACAACGCCACGAGCCTAAAAAGATTAAGTACATGGAAATCCCAATAAGATGGATGTAAGTCATGCAAGACATTATGGAATATCACCTGGGAGTCAATGAAGTGTTTCCCCACAACGCATATCGTTATCTATTATGTCAAATTGTAATTAAAGGCACTGTTGGCAGACGCCGGGCCTGCACATACTGATTCCCCCAGAAAGAAGCCTTGGGTCGCTAGGAGGAGGCTTCGCGTGGGAACCTTCATCGGACGTGACTCATTCATTTGCATACCACTGATGCCGTACCTAAGATACTCTCCTTTGATACCGCTGCGCCTTGTTGTTGCAGAGCAGCCCGGTGGATGAGGGGAAGGAAAAAGACGGGCTGATAGAGCCGGCACACTATCAGAAGGAGCGTTGCCAGGTGACGGTGTTGAAGGAAGTGAAGTGGAGCACTTCATGTGTGTCCATGTGCGCCTGTGTCTCTGGAAAAAGCAGCAGGAAAGAAATAACTGAAATATATGTATATTTTGGTTTGAAAGGGGATGATGGTGATTCATGCAATAGGTAAATTGTATGTTTTATTTAACAAAAGTTTTATGGTCATTTTCAATGGTTTGGTGCGACTTTGCATATTTATAGTTTGAGAAGTGCACAGTTCTGGCAAAGAAAAGCCATTCCAGCACATTCTGATTAAAAGAAGGAATACTTCTACATGGTAATAGTTGTATTAGAGCCAAAGTAAATCCTTAAACGAATCGTTTAACATTTTGGGACGGACACTTGTTGGCTTTTATCGCCAAATGGATGTGGAAGCTGTGACCAAAAAAACCCAAATCCGACATCTATGCTCATTTGTTCCCACATTATTATTATTATTATTATTATTATCAGATATCAGATTGTCACTCAACAGTGAGATTCTGAAAATACCTTTTGTTACTACTCCTAAAACCTCAATAATAGTTCATTCATCATCTGTGAAGCTGATCCACGAGCAGAGGGTGCAGCCTCTGCTATCGTGCTCGGGGAACGATACGACTGTGGGAGTTACGTGTAAAGCGGATTCCACCGGCTGAGGTATACGGTGAAATGATCCATCTTTTTTCAGCAAGTCTGGCAAGTAGCCATCTCCGATTCACAAAACCAGCCGGTTGTCGACGGCTACGCAGGACAAATCCAGAAAACTCTGACAACAGATTTTTCAAATAAATAAAGAGAATGTCTGTCAGAAATGTTCAATTAGGTGGATGACATATGAAACCCTTTTGAAACACTTCAGTTGATATTCAGTTGATATATTCACATAATGGAACTATAGTTGGGAATGAATATTGTTGCTTGTTTAGACTAAGATAAAATTATTAATAATTGTATTGGACCCTTAAGGTCCTAAAGGGATGGTTTTAAACGTCCCTACAATTGTAATTAAGAAATCCAACAGCTGTTATTAATAATTAGCAATTCTACGAATCATCCTTTCATTTATCATACGACAATGTAGAAATTGATTATAAATCACAACAAGATATAATTGGTGGTTTCTGTAATTCATAATTACAAGGCTCAGTTCAGTGTCAGCAGTACAGCATTACAGTACAACATATCGATATAACTTATTGCAAAAACACAGCATGGACTAATACAGACTATTTTAAAACACACTGTGCCTACTAATAAAAGTGCTCTATATATATATAAATTGTTTCTTTGCTGTTATATAGAATTAACTACAACCACAGCCTACAAACAGGCTAAATTTTATATTCGAGCCTCCAGCGGTACCAGAGTGCACTGCATCGTGTTCTTGAGCAGCTTAACAAGGAAACAAACCGTACCAGTCTTGTGTTGTTATTCATGGAAACATTCCCCTCACATACTGTTTATTAGTATGAAATAAACAGAGGAGACGAGCCCCGTGCATTCTGTGATGCACATGCAGAGAGATGCAGCAGCTTCAAGCATTTATAAACTACACATACACACACACACACACACACACACACACACACACACACACACACAAATGTGTGTTATATACACATGTGCATGCATGTATACAATGCTTAGACAAAACATAAATCCCATCAACATTTAAAGAGGTAACAATCAGTCGATAGTTATTGCTGATTTTTCCTTAACATGATTATCTGGAGATATTAAATTACTCTATATGTCATTGATGGGGGGGCAGAGTTAGTTTGTTTAGACATGATTTATAGCTGCAATCAATATTCATCGCCTGCAGATCTCACATGATGTTGTGATATAATGAATGAATGTGAAAAGACAAATGAGTATTTAGACACTATCAGAACTGTTACAATGCTTAAAGCTGAAAATCAGCATGCTGAAGGACTGAACTACGGAAGCACCAAAACTAAAACTCTCCATGTTCTGCTGCTTATAAATGTTAATACAGTTTGTCATATGCCATATGCATTTAAACTCCATGACATTAAAATCATCATTGGGCCCAAAGAAAATGACTAAGATTTGTTTTTGTTTTTTTGCTTTAGTTGTTGCATCAGAAAATTTCAGATTTCAGCTTCAATTAATTGGAAAGTAGTGGTTGTTTCATAAAATCTGTTTATATGTGGTTTGTCCAAAACAGTCTACAACATGTTAAAGCCCGGTGCAGAAGAATTAGTGGCATCTTGTGGTACGTTTCAGATTGCATCGGTCTGCTCACCCCCTCCCTTTCCAAATGTTGGCAGAGAACTGCGGTCACCTACAGGGAGGGAAGCTGCTATAATCAATAGAGCTGACAAAATAAATGTGATTTATTTTTTAAATATATCTAAATATTGTTTATAGAGCAGCAACAGTTATGTTCACAATAACAGAGTCGTTACTATCTCACTGGAAACCAATATTACATGTACACAGGCATCGGTTTCGGTATCAGTAATCCCTCCTGTCTGCTTTCTCCTGGCCGCTTTGTCTAACCCGACAAGTTCACAAAAGAAAAGCTTTTAGCCGATCCATCATACTGTGTTTGAGTAAGACTGGCTGAGTTCATTAGGTTGCACTCTCGTTTACGTTGTCTTTGTCCTTGTTGCACAGATCTATTGCTGAAGTAGTGGCTTTTTAGTCCCAAATACTTACTGTTTATTGCATGTTGCAGTAACATTTTGTACATTCCATGCACAGTACAGTGCATTGCATGTTGCGGTACAGTGCATTGCATTGTCCTTAACTTCACCTGGTTCACCGGTTCAATCAATTACATGTGAATATTGAAAAATACTAATAAAAACACGCTAACACTTGGGGCTTATCTTATCTTATTCTGGGTTGTTTTAGAAACATGGCGGTGCGAGGTCGTTGACTCCATGGAAGAAGATATAAATATAAGATATAAATGTCTTAAAGGAAACTTTAAGAGGGTTTTTAGTTTCAGGTGATTAAACACCTGATTCAAACATAGTTCATATGAACATAGTGTACCATTTCTGCCAATTAGTCTCCATGATTGTTACACACTGTGCCTTCCAACAATAAGCTCTAAATTGTCCTGTTTCACAAGAGGGGCATATTTAGACAAGGTGTCAGGTATGATGTCCTGTACTTGACTATAAATATCTTCAAGCAGGTGGCTAAAGCTTGTTTGGCCCATCTGCTCTCTAACCCTCTCAAAACAGTAGAGTATGCAACAGTGTGAGCTTGTGTGTGCGCAGACGCACGGATGTGTGTGTGTGTGTGTGTGTGTGTGTGTGTGTGTGTGTGTGTGTGTGTGTGTGTGTGTGTGTGTGTGTGTGTGTCTTATTCATTTTGACCTTTGTCGTTGCCCACTTGCATTCTTTTTTAACACACAAGGTCATCAGTAAAATACCCTTTAGCTCTTATCCAACATATAGACTGCTAATAATAACTGCCCTTACCATAACCCTGAGGAGATAGCTAGTGGGCGTGTGTGTGTGTGTGTAGGTGGGTGTGTAGGTGTGTGTGCGTGTGTGTGATAGACACTCACCACCCAACCAGCCGGTCCATGTGATGTTAAAACACAATAAGCCTCTTAGGTCTAATCCTGCCATGTTGGAAGGGGGGATGTCTCGTGTCCACACACACGCACACACGCACACACGCACACACACACACACACAGACACACATCACCCTGCTGAGGTACTTGGGTTTCTTCCTTCCAGTCGGCAAGTGTTCTGTCAATGTAAACAAAAACCTGCTAGAGAAAACAGGTTGTAACAAAATTAAAATAACGAGGTGCGTGTGCCATTTTTTTAATGTTCAGTATTTAATACTATACATTGAACTTGTATGCCTATTGAGATTAAAGATTTAAACACAAACTCAAAATCAACTAAATCAAACACAAACCAAACAGTGACCGCAGGTTATAAAATAACTACCCTGGAGACATGAAGTACGCTGGTGCCATTAACAAGGACCTAATGACCAAACACTAGAATGTCTGACAGCCTCTGAACGTATTCAACGTCTGTACGTCTGTCTCACGACTTGGCACAGAAGTTGAACACCCATCAAGGCAGAGAACTAAAGAGGTTTCTCGTTAATTAAAAGCTTGTTGTCTTATATAAAATGTTTATTTCTTTCAAAGGGACATCATGAAAATAGAAGAAAAAGATGTCTGTAGTAGCAGAACAGAATACAACCTCAACACTCTGTTCTCTCTTTTTCAGATTATCTTTGTTCTCCAGAAGAAAATGTCCACATGATCGACTTCACCAGGTTTAAGATCCGTGACATGGAAACAGGGACGGTCCTGTTTGAGATTACTAAACCTCCAACAGGTCAGCTCCAAACTATGGAAACCAGATAACATGTTATAAAACAGACCGACAAACACCTAATGACCCTGCAAAGGATAATCTAACATCCTGCAGGATCTTTTGTCAATTCAGCCACCTCTCTTCTTCTCTTTTAAATGTCTCCCGCCAAGCAGAAGGCAGAAAACAATGCGACCCAAACGCCGGGCGCTTTGTCCGATACCAGTTCACCCCGGCCTTCCTGCAGTTGCGGCAGGTCGGAGCCACGTAAGTTGAGATTCACTGTGTTTGTGAGACGTGCGTCTGTATGAAGCTGAATGGCGCCATAATGTGCGATCAACCCTGGTGCACGGACAGAAGACCCATGGCGGGTGTGGGAGGCGCGGGGGCGTCCGCGTGGGACGGCAGGCTGGCGACGATAAGTGCGAAACATGCAGAGCAGACCGAGGCCACCTGCTGAGTGTGGCCTCTAGTTGCCAGTACTTCAGAGTCGTGTTCATCATCAGACTCCTTCTTTGACTGCAGAAGTTATTTGGATAATCTCAATGTATGTTGGAAATAATGTGCTTTGTGCGCCGTATAATGGAAGCGGTTTGTGTTGTAACTATCACGTTGTTTTCCAATAACAATAAAAAGGCCATAACAGTTCCGGTTAAGATGAACTGGAATTAACCTTTGACCCGTCTCCCCAAAGCTTCTCATGCGCTTCCAGCTTGGTGAACACGTGTCCTCCCTGTGTTTCCGCAGAGTTGAGTTCACGGTGGGAGACACACCCATCAACAACTTCCGCATGATCGAGAGACACTACTTCCGCGATCAGCTGCTGAAGAGCTTTGATTTTGAATTTGGCTTCTGCATGCCCAGCAGCAAGAACACGTGTGAGCACATCTACGAGTTCCCCCCGCTGTCAGAGGACATCAGTGAGTGTCCCAACACACGCGCATGACCGCAAGAGACAAACGCACTCACACACTGAGACGTAAAACCTAACCGGGTTTAATTATGTAAAATCCTGAGCTTTGTGTGGTGCTTTTCTGTCTTTCTCTCAGTGCGCGAGATGATCCTAAATCCTTACGAGACGCAGTCTGACAGCTTCTACTTTGTGGACAACAAGCTGGTGATGCACAACAAGGCAGACTATTCCTACAGTGGGGGGCCATAAGAAGACCACCATCCACCCCTCAGCCCTCCATATAGTCTAGAGATTATACATGACATGTACCTCTTCAGGACCAGAAACAGATGAACTGATGGACAATTCATTGGCATTAAATGCTCTTGTCTCCCTACTGTTAGCTGCTTCATTTCCCATTCAGGTATTCAGCTGCCAGACCAATAGATTTCTCCCTTTGCCTCTTTGCAGGAACATCGAATTCTGCCAGTTTTATCATCAATGTGTGTGAGCGAGTGTGTGGGCAGCTAAGTGTCTGTACATAATGTTGATTTCAGCCTGTGTATGTGGGTTCCACTTGATCATCAACAAGACGTTACATTCTGTGTGTTTTAATGGCTAAAACAACGAACAGAGAAAGGCAACAGTGAGTCAGAGACACTTCATGAAACATAAAGAGAAATTAAGATACCCTAACAAAGTTTAATAATAAGTATTCCATTCAGATGTACATTTATATAGTTTGTATAGGAGGCTCATTACATTTGTACTCAAGAAGTTTCTTAAATTTGTAGTAGCACACATCCGAATGACTCATTCTGTCATTGTTCATTTGAACGACCAACAGAAATATGAACTTTGTCAATGTGTCATTTGTTCTCATGTAGTTCTACCAGCCTACTTAAGGAGTATTTTTTAAATTAATACCCATTTTGAAGTGTCGGAAAATCAATACCATACCAATTTTGATATCCAGTACGTTCCCTGTAGTACTGAACACACCATGAATGTTGTAAGTACAAAATTAAGAACTATGTAAAGTTTTGACAGCGGAAATTCCATTACTGCAATAAATATTTTTTCCAAGTCTTGATATGCATTGTTTGTTTGTTTTTTTCACAAAATATTGAGGGAATCAAAAAGGTAAACAGAACGCTAAAACTCCTTTTGAGCAGATAATAGTTACTCAAAACAGTGAAGCTTATAAATAATAAGAATCAGACAAAAAAGGTTAAGGTTAAAGGTTAAAAGAGGTACCTTCTTGCAACAAGGCAATAATTACATATGTTTAAAGACTGAAAAAAATAAGTTGATTGAATAAATAATACAATAATTTGCGTGTGGTTTGACACCTAATCTATAATTAGTTGATGACGATGCCTTTAGAAAGACAGTGTTACTGTGACTGTTCAAGAATCATTGATTTCCATTTAAAGTATCATTATTTTGAATGAGCTGCAGGTCACAAAATGCTGCCATCTTCTGTGACAACAGTCTTACTGCATTGTTGCCATGACACCCCTTATCACCATTACTCAGGCAAGCATATCTGTTCGCTGGTGAGCCTTATTTTTAACTTTTTCCTTTACTTTTAAACTAACCCATAGCCTTATATTCTAATCCATAGCCTTATATTTTATTTTATTCCTCTTGCACTATGTTGTCTTATCTGTCTTGTTGTCCAACTGTCTGCTGTTATGCACCAACCGTATGTCTGACATATTTTGGTAATAAATGTTTCCTGATTGAAGAGAGAGAGAGAGAACCTTCAATAAATAAAACAGCGATTTGTCACATTGACATAAATCTATCTCTAACATGACTATCCATAATATATAACTGGAAGTCTTGCAAATAAATAAACGGGGGGTGAACAAAATATGTGTTGGAACAGGCCAGAAAGACTATTTCCTTTTCCAAGGACTTGATGGTTTAAACAGCCAAGCTAATACTAAAACAAGAAGCTCCTTGTGACCGTATCCCCTATTCAGGTTTATAGTACATCCATTATATTAAGGAGATGGATGCGGTGCAGGAAGTCAGATACCCAGCAGGACTCTCCACCCCTGAATAAACAGCAGGATGCAGTCCGGGCAAACAGCCTTGCTGATCAAAGATTCTTCTTGCGTTCTCCTCTTCGTCCTCTGCTTTCCGTTGAGCGACGTCCGTCACCTCTGACGTCTGACCGCAAGCAGACGTGACCAGGCAGCCGGTGTGGACGTCCTGCAGGGTGGAGGTTGTGGGCGGAGTCACAGCGGTAACTTGTGGATCAGACACCAGGCTGTCCTGCTGTAACTCCTCCCACAAGTTACCTGGGGGGTGGGGGGGGGAGAAAAGATGTCTTGAAAAGTCCTAGTGTATGTCCTAAGCTTTTCCTGCAGGGAGAAGTCAAAATGTTTGTTGTGAAAAAAAGTTAAATTAGATGATAGAGACAGGATCATCCACGATCGATGTGATTCACTTTCTTGTTTCTTGTTCTCCTGAGTTTGTACCCTATGGTTGAATGCACTTATTGTACGTCGCTTTGGATAAAAGCGTCAGCTAAATGACATGTAATGTAATGTAATGATTCATTGCATCTTTGCTTTTGCTTCTCTGCAGACACCAAACAACATCCGACATTTTGAAACCGACATCTAAAACCTTAAAACAGCTAGTCAGTTAGCATTATTTAGCTGGCTAGCTCAAACAAAGACTTCAGTGTGACCGTGTTGAGTTGCCGTTTTGTGTCCTAAGCGGATGTGACGGTGCTACGTGTCAATGACGAGGCACTTTCTAGTCCCCCATCCGTCATATAGTCTCTACTGTCTTTCGTACCTTGCAGCTGCAGGTCGGTCAGACTGGGGTTGAGCGTGTCGATGTCATAACTGGCATCTCCCTCCAACAGCATCTCCTGCATGCTCCTGGAGCTGTACCCTGACTGCAGGGCGCCGCCGTAGCTGGGCGGCATCTTACCAGCCACGGGGGAGTGCAGGCCTTCTGTGGCTGATGGGACGCCAGCTGCATGCTGGTGTCCACAGGGTGAGTACACGGCAAAAGAGTTGCTGGGGTGAGCAGCGCCGGGTTGAAGGTAGCACGGCTGATGAGGTTGAACGTGAGGACGGCGAAACGGCGGTCGCAGCTGGGCCGGCGTGCACGATGTCGAGGTGGTGCCATAGACAGGCGCCACCCTGGATAGCAAAGAGGGGTTTGTGTAAGATGGCAAAGGCCTGAGCTTGTTTGGTCTCTCTCCAAGTAGACGATCAAGGTCTTCTGTGAACAAAGTGAGTGTTGAATTAATTGTGAATTAAATAAGATGAAGTCAAATTGAGTAGAGGTCCATCGCTGTACAGCCTACGCTTAATGTTGTCTGCTTTCGATGCGTTTGAGGGACCCACCTGGTCTCGCCATGCTGCTGCGAACACTGATGGGGTCCTTGCGCCGCCACTTGTGCAGCTCCTCCTGCATTTTCTCCACCTTGGCGGGATTGAGAGCCCAAAGACAGCCTTTGCGAGACGAGTTCCCATTTTTGTTCTCCACCTTCTCAAAGCACTTGTTCAGGGAGAGGTTGTGACGCACAGAGTTCTTCCATCCATCAGGAGCGGACTGAAAACAGAGACGATTGTATAGATGCGGAATATGTTTGAAGCAGCTGTTGAGCAGCTCATGATGTCTTGTCAGAGAACTTGATGGTACAAGAAGAGAAGCGATGAGCACAAATCATTAGGGTGCATGTGCATCCAAACCATCATATTACGAGGATATGTATTATTTTCTTAATAAAATGCCATGAAATTGCAAAAGCTGTCAAATATAATATCAGTGACGTCCATATATCGCTTGTCTAATCAATGATGACCAATGACCAATGATGACCAAGATGAAGAAAAACAACAAATCCTCACACGCAACAACAGGGATTGGTTTCTTTTGTGAAAAGCATCCAGGTGTATTCTAAAAACAGTGGGCCAGACCAACAGCAAACTAAACAAATAGATGCATATTCAGAAACCTCTTTATCTGAAGGCTGAAAGGTGTTTTAATGTTTAACAGTGTTTAACATCCACATGTTCTCTGGACTGAACTGGTCTCAAAGATACCTGACAATATCCAGAAAGTATTTAGACCTATCAAAGGTCTTTGACTTATATTCTCTGATTTTTATTAGAGTATCGCTTATCATCTGCCATATGTGGCCCTGCAGCCTGTGTTTAATGTTACAGGCAGCTGTTTGGAAGGCAGCCATCTGTCAGCGGCCTTCTTAAATACGAATGGCAGCACGTCTTTGAGCTCTTTCCAGAGGTGAGTCTGAACATATTTGATTTGTAGATACCTGGAATCCATTGAAGAATGTACAGTATTTGTGACGACCCAGGGTTCAAGCAGAAGTCCTACCCCGCAGCTGCTTCATTTTATTCATATTAAAGCAAATATGCATGTTTTACCCTCCCACGTTCTTTCTTTACAATATCAAATAATTCTGATACGTCAATAGAGTTAACGAACGGTCCTGGTGACAACCTCACTAACTTCCTACACACTAACACAAACATACTATGTGGATATTAAACAGATGCCAAACCTCTCCTCATTTAACTCCTCCTGCCCCAACAGGTTACCGCTCAGCCAGTCCAGGGCCACCTGGCTGCAGGTGTAGTGACTTTTACGGTATGCCATTAATCATTGGGGAGCAATTAATGTCAGCTGCAACAAAGATGTGGTTTGGTAACATGCGAGAAAGAACTGAAACTTTCAACTACTGGCCCACTGTGAAGTAAGAATTGATCTAAAGATACTGGAGTTTCACTAATATGTAAAAGACAAACGTTGATCGTGGTACCTTGAAATAGGGAAAGTGTTCGCTCATGAAGCTGTAGATCTCACTGACTGGCAGGCTTCCTGTCTTGCTGTTCTTTAGAGCCAAGAAGATCAAGATGCTGCAGTCAGGAAGTAAATGTTTTTCACGTTAGCATTTTATTTAAATGTAGTATTCGACGCAAACAGAGAACTTCAAGACACCCAACAATGCAATGCATATAAGGAGACTGTTGCTTTAAATATGACTTCACAATGAGGCTAGACAGAAATATAAAAGATGGCAAAATATGTTAAAATGCGACGCAACGTCACCTGTATGAGTAAATTGGCTTGGGGAAGAGGGACTGTGCGGTGCTCTCCAGGTGGGATTGAGTGGAGACACTTTGGAGAGAATATTTGGAGCTGTTGGACTGATCACTATTAGAATACAGTCGAGGGGAGACCTGTAGAGGACACACACAAACACACAACCAAAGGTGGCGATGTTTTACAGATTACTGGAAGGTAAAATATTTTGCATTGCACAAATTCATCATTACGCAGAACCCCTCTTCATCACGGCCTTTGATGCAACTCTTGAACGACATAGCAACTCACCTGTTGTAGAGGGCTCGATGAGCTGTAGGAAGGACAGCTTTGAGGCAGGAAGCAGGAGGGGTCCACTCGGACAGTCAGCAGTTCTGGGAACGAACTCTGCTAAAAAGTAAAGTAAAGTTGTTTAGAGAAGCTACATTTCTGGATAAAATTATCTTAATGGCTTAATTTGGCAACTTGGTAGAAGTAGAAAACAACAGACCATTTTTTTTTTGTATTCATTGCAAATTTCAGTAAAATAATGATTCATTTGGACTTTCGTTATCGCGTGATGAGGAATATTTAATCTCTTTTCGCTCTGTTTTTGGTCATTAACTAACGACATAACATAAGTTTGTTAGCACCTAAATGTTCCAATACATTTTTTAAATCCATTAAATTAACTCCATTAAATCTGTGGTGGTAGTAAAACTTTCTCTCGTAAAGTGATACTAGGAGATCAGCGAGACTGAACCAAAAAGTAAAGTGATGTAGCTCCTATAAAGAAGGAAGCTTCAGATTCCCTTTCACATAATGCCACAATCATGTCATACATTGTTATAAAGACACACTGCCTTAAAATGTGCATTTATATTAGATCTCCTATTCAGTAATGCAGCATGTACGTCTTTTGAAAAAATCTGCCCATCCTGTTTACTCACTCCCCTTTCTTTATAGACCTCTCCTGTCACGTTCCTGATCCCATAACCTGGAATAAAAAGTGAGGGTAAAATAAGTACAGCATAAGAAACCTGAATGCTGCCGTTGTATTGGTCCCAGGATGGCGATGATGACGCCTCGCATCTCGAGCTGCTTGAACAAGTCCCAGGGCTGCACAACTCCTGCAGACAGCTGAAGGACGACATGCCCTGTTGGAGGCCGCCCGGCCCCGGCGCCTCTCCGTCGCTGCACTGTCGATGGTACGGGTGGTACCGGCCCACAGAGCCCCCTCGCGGTGTTGATCCGGACCTTGAACTGATGGTCCCGTCGGCGCTGTGCCTCCTGTTCACCCCCGCCGTCCTCAGGCTGAAGTTGGTGCTCTCTTGCCGGGTGAAGCAGACGGCGCTGCCCTCTTTAGTCTGCGGTGGGATCATCATCACAGGGACACACATCTTCAAAGATGGAAATCGCAATCGTCAATAAATGGTGAACAATTTCGTCACGGCCGGGGTCAATGGGTAAATGTGTATGTAGTCCCATCTCTGGACCATAATATTTAACTTATAAAACCTTTATTTATAGGGTAGGAAACGTTTATATAGTCAGAGTTTATTTGTAATATTCAGAGCATTAATATATCAGCACCACCAACAACTTAGCGATTTGAACACGTGAATGAGGAAATAATTAAGTTCTTCTTCATTTTGTTGAGTGTGTCAGACTATAAGTACTTCCCAAATTTGATAGATTTAACCATAAAATAGAAATATAGATCCCAGGCAGATAACAGTTGTCCTCTAAAAGGCAATGCGAAACTAAATTAAAAGCCGACATGGTCCTAAGTCATTTTCTTTTTCCATTCTCACACAGAAGAAACTGCTGGGTTAAAACCTGAGGCGTTTTAGTACCTGGAGTTCTGCCATTTGCCGGCACGAGGTCCCGCAGGGCTCCCAGGTGTGTAGACTTTCCCGGGGGGTTGAAGGTGACTTGCCACCAACGTGGGAAAATGTCAACGAATCTGACATTCTGCACCAAAATCTACTCCCGTGAAGAGATAGAAAACAGAGGATTTGGTGTGTGTGCCATTTTCTTGCCCAACAGGGGTCCGCATAGGTTGCGTCACTCGACATTCAATGTAACACAAATCTCACGCTGCGGCTAAATAGTTGGTCATTTCTAGAATGTAATGGTTTGCTTTCTTGCGAACAGTCGATTGGAGGTGGCTGATGGAGTCTAGCAACTCTAAACTCCACACATTCATCACCAGCATCTCATTATCTAAACCTCAGCGTAAAGAGTTGAGACAGAGGTACTTCTAAAGAAATCCTTCCTCTGGATAAAGGTAAAAAAAACATCTACAGACATGATACAGGACTGAGAGGTGACGTTGTCACCTTCAAACCGAGCCTGATCCAACCTGTTTCCTGCCGTCATGCTAAGCTGACGCAACCTGAGCGGTATTGATGTCTCATCAACACACAGCAAGAGAGCCGATAAGCGTTTTTTTTCCCAAAACGGAATCTGTTGAAGAGTGAAGAGTGGTAAAACATCATGCTGTTTGTTATTCTACTTTTGATTTATATTGCTGTTGACACATGACAGGAAGTGCATGTCGAGCGTTTTGACGAAGCACTTATTGATACTGATCCTCTGAGATCCTTTTTACTGAGCCAGTACTCTGCTGTAAATCTGTGGCTTTCTCCGCACTGAGTCCTCTGACGGCACGAGTTCACTTCAGCACGCCGTTCATTACAACACCAACGGGAAGTTTGACATAAGTGGGTGTGCAGCGGTTTCTCCAGCTGAGTGCAAAGAAGTGATATCTGATCCCAGCGGAGAGGACGGACACGTGGCACGAGTTCCACCGAGGGTAACCTCAGCCCCTGACACCAACCAAGCTCATTAAAACCGCCATCAAACCATGGCCGCTAGCTCGTGTAAAGCCAAATAATGCTGAGGCAGAGAAAGTGAGATCCACCTCTCATGTACTGTGAGTGTGTGTGTGTGAGAGAGAGAGAGAGTAGCAATCGTAGCTCTTTCTGTTCTCATCAACTGAAGCTAAAGTGTCCAGGTGAAAGTTGAGAGACGGCCTTTTATCCACTGTGGCAACAAATCCTCTCACCTGCTTGAAAGACACGCTGCCAACGGCCAGAACGGATGCACTTACAGAAAGAGAAGTAGAAACTTCAGCAGTGGTTAGTGTGTGTGTGTGTGTGTGTGTGTGTGTGTGTGTGTGTGTGTGTGTGTGTGCGTGTGTGTGTGTGTGTGTGTGTGTCTCACGTTTTCTTCATGAAGATTCCTAAAGAAACTGAACAGTTTTTGTCTTTGAGGAGCCATGGATGCAAAGGTGCAGATGTAGAATACATCATAAACAGATGTAGGTTTGTGTGTCTCTCAATTGTCAACACTAAATGCCAGTCACATTTATTTACGCGATTGCTATACTACAGGCGGTATTTATAGTGAGAGATGCTGTTTAAACATTGTAAATATATAGAAAAAACACTGTATAACCATTAGTGTTAAGAATACCATTGTATTTATATACATTTATTAACATTTTAGTTACTTCATTACAACATTTACACTGCATCTCCTCCACTACATATTAAATGGAAATATTGTACTTTGTCTATAGACTATTTAACTCCATATTTTAGAAAAAATATGGTGGAGTAATAACTACCTAGGCACAATAATGCTAATCGAGTACAGCTTATTTTTACTCTTTACTTTGATCTGGAACTTTATTTTACTAATAATACTTTTACAAGTATCATTTTGAACACAATACCTTACTTGAAATTCCGTTTTTTACTTGTTTTGCCACCTTCACCTCAGACTCTGCATACAAATAGGGCTGTGTATAGGCAAGGATCTGCCATGATACGGGGGTTAAGATTCAATATATTACTCAACACTGCAAGCAAGGCAATGTGTTTCAATTTGTTAATTTTACGAAGACTGTCTTTTTATAAACATCAAACCACCTTTGACCTCCCGCCTTGTTTTATGTTTTACAAAGTTATTGACTGTTGGCACAAATGATTCATCATGAAGAGTCAAAGGCATAAAGGGGTTCAACACAGTGTCCTGTCTTTTGTCATTTGATGCACTATTGTGAAAGAAAAAGTCACATGCTGCATTTTGGCCACTGTAGTGTTCAAAAGGAAATTCATCTTGGGTGTGGAATATTAAAACAATCTCCCGCCCAGTAGGATCATTCACTTTGTTTCTGACTTCATTAAAGGATGTGAAACCAGGATTTGACTTTGAAATTTAGCTTCTAATCAAAGCTGAGAGATTTAAAGGGATACTTTGATTATTTATTTATCTCCTTTATATACTGTTATTCTCTCAAATCATCATATGAAACCTCTCTAAAAGAAAAAGATGCCGTGTTCAGCTTTGTGAAGAGTTTTCCAGCTCATTAAAGAGGCTTTGATTGTTTGTTTAGTTAGTGTTATAGTATTATAATTTATTGAATCATTTCTAGATTTACACATAAAACAGTGTAAAAACACAGAATATAAAGTTAATTTTCACTGAAAAGTGAGTATGAAGCACAATATTTACCTCAAGAATAAAGTGGAAGTATGAAATTACGTCACATGGGAATACTCATATAAAATAAAATGCATCCAATATGCCTTTTTACAAGGGTATTCAGAGAACGGCTCTTTCATGTCAACCGTAATCAGAAGACAAGAACCGATACCACTGCTCCTCATATCGTCAGGATTACTTACTGACAGTGTTTTATTAGTAGTGTTGACATGAGAAGTTCACAGCGGTTAACCAGCATCTGACAGCACTGCTGTTCTCTCTCTGTTCCCAATAAACATGCGGGCACTGGAGTGCAAAAGGAAATACAATCAGATTATATCAACAAAACTGTCGAATGAACTCACCTAAACTTAGTAACTGCCCCCTCTCCACTCCGGCTTGTAGATTCAGTCAGATTTTCTCAATCAGAGCCATGACCCCTGCTGAGCCCGTTATACCTCGTGGGTCTGTGCACCTCACGCCACCTCGAGCACTTCGATCAGATCCACGGTCCAAATATGTATGGAAATGGAAGATGGGCTGGTTTCACATTTTGGCAGCTCGGAATATCATACTCATTCTATGTTTGTGTGTGTGTGTGTGTGTGTGTGTGTGTGTGTGTGTGTGTGTGTGTGTGTGTGTGTGTGTGTGTGTTTATGTTGGCACTCGTCCAGGCTAGCCCAGCAAGAAGATAGACAGAAAAGAAAAAACCTGCTGCAACAGGTTCCAAAACCTCTACTGGTGCAGTCATTGGCAGCGCTCTCTTCCTCCTTCCAATCGCTCTTTCTTCGCCTGACTGAACGGTTACTTGTCTGAACGGGACACCAGATACACTACCGATCAAAGCCCGTGGCGGAGAGCAGGGGCGCAGTGCCCGGAGCTCGCCCATGGCAAAGGCTTTCTATAATGTCAGACCGTTTCACTTAACTGTTACACTCTCAAGCAAACCTGTGCACGAGTAAATGTCTTTCCAGTATTTAAAGCATGCAGGCGCACGCTTGCAGCCTACAAGAGTTAACGTCTCAACTAATGGACGCAGCCATCAGTGGGTCTGCAGGATGGGGAATCAAACTAAACATCAGTGCATGTTTTAAAATACTTCACGGGAACTTTGGTGTCTTAAAAGCATCTTTTTTTTTCTTTTTCTTGAGAGATTCCTCCCTGAAACCTTTGCAGTGACAGTATGAAGCTCAAAGAGTAAGAGAAACAGAGGAATACAGGAGAAAAGTGGAAGAGGGAGTAGAGGTATGTTGATACAGGTAGATTCTTATCCTCCCCATGAACCAGCAAAGCCATTGTAGCCGTAGCTCGGTGATATAACTTGAATAAGCTCCGTCCTTAGTTGAGGGGCGAGGCAGAATGACGGAGAGAGAGAGAGGATTAATTACAGATTGAATCAACTCTTGTGTTACAATGTGGCTTTTGCCGAGCTGAGCTGCTGCCGAAGGCTCTTTTTTGCCAAAGATGGAGTTCTCGGAGGGAACAAATTCCCGAACTTCAATGAAGGTCTGCTGGTAAATAAGAGCTCCAGGACCTGGAAGCTTGCAGGGACAGTTATTTACCCTTTTATGAATCTAAAAGCTTCAAAGCGATATTTATTTAATCTGCTCAAATCATCTACCCGTCAGTAATATAAAGCACCAGTCAATCATTTTTCAGAAACACAGACATCAGAGGCTTGATTTGAATTCATTGGCTGCATCTATTCAGGAATGACAGTTGAATACGAGACCTAAAACTCTGAGGAACGGGTGCTGTAATTGGAAGCAATTAAAAAATATGCACCTTGTCCTCCAAACGGACATGTTGTCTCAACATCTGGTGCCTGGTCTCCAAAGTAGACCAAACGGCGTCTGCCTTCAACCTTCCTGAAGGCAGGATTTCCCACTGAATGGTTTTATTAGCAATAGCAAATTAAAAATGAGCAATAAAAAGCATGTGGCAACAAGGTAGTTATGGCCCTTCTGTTTTTTTATTTCAGTTTTGATAAAAGAAAATAATAAAAAAATTCCTAAAAAGAAATTGGGAAATCAGAAGACACGTATAAGATAAGGTAAATTAAATTGTATCATATATTACAATGATTTATGAGAGTCTTTTGAGTCACAGAGGGCAGTACAATTTATCACTGAATACTTCACATTTTGTCCTCAGGGTAAGGTTGTATAAATTGAGTAATAACTTTGCCTGTTTTTGGGACACTTGGATATGTGCAGCTGTCTCTCATATTTACAATTATCATGTCATTACCGATTCAGAGCCACATTAAAAAAAACATGTTCAGAAATGCAGAGTAAAGTCAAGTAGTAAAACTCCCCACGTTCCAATTATTATGATAATTGTGCATGAACAGAATCTTGCACATTCATCTGAGCCACAACTAACAATTGTAGGCAGAATTGTTTGTGTTAGTTCATTAATTCTTCCAGGCAGAAAATGTCCTGCAGAATTTTAAATTTTGAATGCAGTTTTTCAAATTTGTGATTGGTAAAATTTTAAAAAGGTTCAAAGGACAGAAGATTTCGCAGCATAAGATTGTCTTACCTCTGATAACAAGCATCCATTGCACCTTCATTGCCTTCCATTACTGTGAGCACCTATCCAGCACGAATGATGGTTCTTCCTGTCTCCGTACAGTCTTTACCAGAAAAACAGAATCTCCTAATTTTCTGTTTATGCTGTGGGTCTATGTGTACTGTAGTTGTCCCATTTTAAAATGCCTTTTTTCTGCAGACAGAGAAGCTATATAGACTTCTGCCAAAGGGCTCAATCAAATGTTTTCATCAGTTTCCTATAATTGATTTCTCTTACCTTCCATCATTTTACATTTCACCCACATTGACCCTTTGAAGAGATTTGCCTTCTGTGTTCTTTGATCTCTATAAATCAATTCAGGACCCACTGGTCCTAATCCTGTGTATGTAATGAGATTTGGTCCCATCATTAAATGACATGTAAAAGTCATAAGGGTCTCAAAAAATACAGTGAACCCTTGATCCTGCAGAATGTCTATTCCAAAGATTTATTTTCCTGGAAGTTGAATATTCTATTGTTGACAAAACAACAGACAACACAAATTAGTTTGAGTAACCACATTACTTTTCAAACCGCTCAATAACTTGACAAAGAGAGAAAGGACACCAGGAAAGACACCAACTTACCAGCTAATCGTATTTAAAGAAGAACACTTTACTTTGGGGTACGCATTTTATTTTGGGCATCATTGGAAATCATCATAACCTTTCAGCGTTGCAATTCAATTGTTCAAAGAGAAAACGGGAACTCCTCTTCGCTGTGTTCTCAGGCTCTAGAAGTCCTAAACCTTGACGGTAGCACATCTCTTCACATGGCAAAAGCTGGATTCAACGGCGGGGATACGATCATTTGCCTGACCAGTATTGGCAACAACATGACAACAATAAAAAAGCAATCCAAAAAAGGGAACACAGACATAAAAAAAACCTGCATTTAGTAAATAGCTATACTTCTCCAGATCTAGAGAGCGCTAGGTCCTCAAATAACAGTCTTCATAGGCACACAAGTTAGCATGAATCAGCGGTTCTTTCCTTTTACGGAAAGTTAAATAACCTTGGACACACTTCAATTACTATATGCTAAAAGCTCATTAGGACATTTTAAAAAATGTGCTTGGTTAAATATCCAGTTATTTATCTAGATTAACTGAACATCACTCAAGTTCAGTCGAAACATCAACAAAAAGGGCTACAGTGTTTCCAGTCGGCATGTGCAGCTGGTATCTGATGAGCGTCACCATGGCGAATAACCCGTTGAATAACCCGTCTCAAGTGCAGGCCTCTATGTACATCAGGTTGGACTGACTGGCTTTAAATAGAAATAGTGAGTCCCCTGCCAGCCCAGTCCTCCAGGGGAGGAATCCGAATCAATACGCAGATATTGTGAATCTCCCCTAATTTGTCCATTTTGTTGAGTTCCCATTCAAGGAACTCTGGTGACATTAGCCCAACTGGGGAAGGTATTCAGCTGGAACATGGGCACGCCCCACGTGTTGATGGCAATGTTGATGGTTAGGACTCCAACAAAGTTCAGAATGAATCCGGTTTTGGCCTGGAACAACCAGAAAAACAATTGAATATCAGAGTAGGTATTTATACATTTTTGTCATATTTGTCAAAATACACACTACGTGTTGGTGCTCAGTCTGCCTCGGTTGAGTTTCCATGGTAATATTAGGGATATTGTGCGAGTCCAGATAGAATATACTGATTAGATTTAAGTATTAATTTAAGCCGTTTATCCACAAACTACATACAAGCCTTAATCTGAAATATTGCGAGAATGTCAACGCGCTTGTCTTTAGGGGTTGAGCTTTGCCGTCTTACCATGTCCATGACTTTAAGGTTGCCGTAGGAGAAGGCGATGGCGTTGGGCGGAGTGGCCACGGGCAGCATGAAAGCCAGCGAGGCGGAGATGGTGCAGGGAAACATGACGTACAGCGGGTGTATCTTGATGGCCGTTGCCTGGATTAAACACATCACAAAAAAAGGGGCATGCACACACTTTAGTATCAATCTTTCAAGGGTGTATCTGTCGCCCAAAGAGGTAGACGTTTTCATTTAAATATTGAAAGAGGAGGACATCCGCTCTCACCATAGAGGCCAGTATAGGCAGAAAGAGTGTGGTGGTAGCAGTGTTGCTGGAACATTCGGTGAACATTGCCACCAGCAGACACAGCAGGATGGAGATGGCAAAAGGAGGGATGCTCTGCAGCGGTACGAGACTTTCCCCCAGCCACAGTGAGAGTCCAGATTTCTTCATGCAAGGTGGACAAAAACACTCATCAGCATCCAAACAGTCAAAGAAAAAGATCACCTTTAGAACGATGTGGATTTGAGGATTGAGTGCATTACCTCACTTCCGTGTGCCAATGCAAAACCTCCTCCCAGAAGCAAAAGGATGTTCCAAGGCATCTTCAAGTGGACGACGTCCCAACTAAGCAGAGGTGGAGGGGCTTCAGCAGAAGCACCTTTTTCAACAAGGAGAAAAAAGGGAATATGATTAAAAGGAAGTAAATGAGATGAATAGGTAGGCCATCAAAATCATATTAACATGTGTCGTTGTAAGTACTTTTAAACTACTTCTCCCTTTTCCAACAAACTACGGCACCACAAAGTCTGCCTCACAGCTTCTAAACATATCACTTCTAAGTGTGTGTTAATCATTATGTCACTTCTCTGTGTACAAAACACAATGATTTTCCACTTTTTGACGGGTACTAGAGAACTTGCTTAAAGGCACAAGGAGCAAGACACGCTTTACTTAAGTTACCGAGGTGAAGAGGAAAAAAGTCACTAGTCAGAGGAACAGACAGCATGGACTGTTGTACAGGCTTGACCTTCAGGCTATCAGGATACAATTCAGGAAGGAGTTTGTTTATTAAAAGTGCTGAATCGGTAGAATGAGTTTTTTTACGGGCAGTAAAAGTTATTGACTGTATCTTGGGTTGTTATAGTACATAGACAAGGACAAGTGTGCTCATAAAACTCCTATCTTCGTTTGAAAAACTAATCGGCAAACATAAAATGTGATGCAACAGTGAATGAACTTCCCACTGTTCTGTCCAGATGTGCAGATAGCGCCATAAAGAGATCAAGTTCATGCCTTCTTGCTTCAACATTCTCCTTAAAACAGGATTTATACATTTTCTCATCACTATTTTATGTTTCTCAATAAATGACAGCTCAACATGAAACTAGATTTAAATGACTTGTGTGTGATTGAAGTCAATTTACACCCCTTTTTATAATGAGATATGTATACAAATGCACCTGTGGCTCAAACTAAATTCGAAAAGATGCCGGGTAACCTACCATCCTCAGACCTCCCGCAGCATCTGGGTAATTTGGACGGGATGCAGAAGAAGAGCGATGACATCAATATGGCCACGGTGCCATCCGTCACATACCTGAAAACACATTTGAAATGTCTGCATTATGGGAAAAGAACGCTCTGACTACCATACATACTCAGGCTGGTGCAATGATTGAAAGACAAAGATAAAACATCTGCAGATGTCGCAAACAGAGATGATAGCTATTGATAAACTCTTTAAAGGAGACTTCATTTCTCCTCCTATTCGGGAGTAACAGCTGTTCGCCTCGACTCACTTCCTGAGTATTGAAAAGCTGCACGACAAACAGTTGTTGTACTCACGTTTTTTCTTTGTTGAAGAGCACAGTGGCCCAGCCGGGTATGAAGCCGGGCTCCCTGGTGAACCACAGGAGAACCAGCAACGTGAAGATGGTCAGCACACAACCCTCAGCGAAGCTCATGCTGCCCAACTTCTTGTACTCGTCTTTGATTACTTTGTACGCCTCCCTGTCACCATTTTCTTGCGTGCCACATCCGAAGGACTTTTTCAAGCTGGAATAACGTAATGTTAAAAATGAGTACGTCTTTAATAATCCGGACGGAGTGATAAGATATTAGGGTATCAGTCCATAAAACTTACTTAAATCCCAAAAAGACAAACTGCAGCCAAAACCAAGACAAGACGAGCATGAGCACCATGTTGGGGAACGCGAAGCCAAACCAGCTTGCAAAGTTGATGACGCCTCCGTTATCTGGGAAGAGTCTGTTGAGGATGAAAAAGAACCCAAATCAAAAACCCCAAATAAAAAAGTAGAAACACCAGAACTACCAGCCAGCTGTGTACTAACGGAAGCCCTCTTCTTTTGGTCATCCCTTATCAGTCAGAAGTTTACGTCCACACTCAATCGTCGAATGTACTTAACGGGGCTTTAAACTGAAGGTCACTTGGCAGCTCCCAGAGTGATCCGATAAACATTTATGAAAAAGAGTCCAGGTTCGTACTCATCGATCTGGCCTTTCAGGATGACGTTGGGTGTGGTTCCAGTGAGGGTGGCCGTCCCGCCGATGCTGGCTGCGTAACAAACGCTGAGGCTCATGCCTTTCGTCAGCTTCAAATACTTCTGCTCCCGCTTCAGTCTGCACTGCTCGGCCTCCGGACTCCTGTCACTGGCAACTGGGTGGGACAGTATAAGACTTCTTAAGTGTACAAACAACAGCTAGAATACACTTGGCCGGTACTGTGGCACTTTAACTCATCTACTTGTATGCCCCGTTTGGACCTTTTATTATTCTTTTTTTTTTACTATACCCACCGATGTCGAGGGCCCCGTCCTTTGCATTAAGCTCTTTTCTCCCTTTGGTGTCGCCCATCTCGTACGCCTGGTTATCCTGACCATCCATTGCAGCAGACCGGTTATTGTCCCTCTCCTCGGCGTTGGCCTCCGTGTCGTTCAGCTGCTGCAGCACGGCGTTGGCGATGGGCACCATCATGGCTGTGGAGGCCGTGTTGCTGATCCACATTGACAGAAAGGCCGTGGTGCCCATGAACCCGATCATCAGGCTGGAGAGGAAGAAGAGAGGTAGTTGGCCTTTGCATGTTAGATCATAACAGCCTCCGCCATCCTAGGGAAAGATTTCCATCACTCACTGAGGTCGACCACTGTTTTTTTGAAAATAAGACCTGCTTATTGTCAGGCTACCAGTTAATCCCAAGAGTGTTGGATGAGGTTCCTAGACATACTTTCTATTGTAGCTGCGGTGTGTAGTATGTAAATGTCTCACAGAGATGGCTTCACCCCCACAATGAGCAGCACTTTCAGGGCGATCCTCCGGTGCAGGTTCCACTGCTCGACAGCAATGGCCACCAGCAGCCCCCCGATGAAGAGCATGTTGGAGTCCTTCAGGTACTGAATACAAACCTGGGTGACAGAGTGAAACAAAAAACAAGTAAATAAGATCCAAATCCCAGTTCAAATTAATGAATTAATTAATTTAAATGGTTGTGTATGTACAGACGGGAATACCTCGCTTGATTCCATGATGCCCATCATGGGGAAGAGAATGACCGGCAGGAGGGCCGTCACAGCCAGAGGGATACACTCCGTGCACCAGTACAGCGCCATGAGGATTATCACATAGCCACATTTTGCCTGCTGTAATGACAGACAAGGACAATCTTCCTCAGCAGCCTTAAAATACAGTCTATACCGTTTTCTCACAGATGATTTAAATAAGTGGTCAAATGACGATTGTGTGCGAGTGACAGCTACTCAACAAAGAGATATGCTGAAGCCTGTGAGGGAACTATGCGGCACATTCCTTCACCGTGGCGAACTTAGATAGCGCCTGTTAACTATTCTCTGATAACTGTGGTAAACAGTACGTTTTAATTATTGGAATTAATCAATGAACCGATAGTTGGTTAAAGTCTAGGAATAAGGAAGTAGTTCACACATTTTGTGATAGTTCTTTGCGTTTAGCTGATGGTTTAATTATTGTATGTTCCATTTACAACAGCTGAACCAGAAACAAGGCCATAAAATGCTTTATCTCTTTTGAAATGGTGAATCATTGTGAGAAGCTGAATAGAAACGGAGGTTGTGATCTTTGATTAAATAGGAAAAGATTGAGCCCCAGAACATGATCCCACTTTTCAATTTATCATAGTCAAAGATTACACGATACAAAGGGTCAATGACGGAATCCGTCCTCTCCATGTTGCAGCTAAGGAGACAACGTAAAGACACTGATGTCCTACCACACTGAGATCTTTGATCCCTTTTGATTGTCATTTTCAGTTTTTTGCTGTTGTTTCCCAAAATGTGGCTACAGCTTTGGATACCGAACTCTATCACTCTCCTAAAAATACTTTGTGGATTGAATGATTCAATTTGAAAAGAAAATAGTTTTTTTTTTTTATTTAATTGAAAAGGCCAAGTATAATCATTTTAAGTATATCAAAACAAAGGGGATTGCATGTTAAGGATACATTAGAAAATACTGTATAATGTAATGTTTAAGTATGAGAGCATAAAAAACCCTCAGAGATCAAAGCTCCAGTCACTTTTATCTGAGCCTGTATTCTGTGCTCTTCTGGCTCCTCGATGGTGGAATGAATCAATCACTTTAATTACATCAAGCATGGTCGACCTTTATTTGCCTCATTAACATCAATACATTCAGTATCTCTCCTTCAAATAGCAACTCTATTGGATATCTAACTCAAACACAGAAGACAACGTCTCTCCTGCTACCTCCCTTACAGCTCATTCACAGTCATTTTTACGACAGAGGTTCATCTAGAATAACACTATTGTGACCTTTTAAATAATCACATAACTCTTGGATAAGCTTTGAAATTATTGTTATAGCGGAGTTTATGCTGCTGCGATAGAAGTAAACGTATATGTGGTCATGGCGAAGGGGACCTTTGCAATCAAAGTCAATGTTTGGTATAATAATTTGAAGGTTGAGCATAATATCTTCTTCACTCAGGCATCCAAATACACATGAAAAGCAGAAAGGTTCCCCTGTGCCTAAGCTGATCTGTCTGTAGCCTTTATTGGAAAGACCTTTGTCTTTTTGTTTTGGAATGGCTTTTTTTATTTAATTTTATGTAGTTAATCTGAGTGGTGTCTAGCAAAAACAACCATCCAGGTGGTCCAATAATGTTGGTATCAGATTTGTACTCAAACACATTCTGCCATATAAAGCTAATTTAACCGAAATAGCAAATACACTACAGCACAGGTGATATTATTTACTCTCTGTCGGCTCTCAATTCAGTAGCTCAACAGTTGAACAGTTGATGACTAAACTGCATCATGTGTTCATCAGTACTGATGGAGAGAAAACATTGCACTCTGCCTTTAATTGCACATATTGTAAGTTAGATGTTTTCATTTGCTTTGAAGGAATTTCCGCTGCACTTAAGTGGCTTTCTTGCTAACCTACTCATCAGTTTTAGAAGATGTGCACAGCATTTTTAATGAGGCACTGCAACATCAGAAACATACTTTCACTTTTAAAGAAATACATATTCAGCAACATCGGAGGCCAGAAAGTCAATTACATAGCGTTGGACTAATATCCATTATGCAATTAGACAAGCCCATTCTGCAGGTCTGAAGTCTAAAATGTGTCCTGCAACAGGAGAAAACGCATGCACGTGGTAATTTGCTTACCAGGGTCGGAATGACGAGGGGCAGAGGCAGAAGTAAAAGAGGAGTAAGGACTATCACAATGTAATTCCTATACTTCCACAACCATGTAAGAAACCCGGCCATGATCCACAAGCTGTGATGGACGTCCAAAGTATTGAAGAGGAAGGAGAAACTACATGCAATTGTCCACACCAGCCTACTCGCTAAGAGACAGTAACAGAACGTCCCAGTGTATATGTATGGCTTTGTTGGTCACCCTGAAAAGAAGATTAAAAATTAACTTTAGAGTGAAGGGGGTGGGGGGTGGCAGGAAATGGCATGTGATCGATGTGTTGTCCATGTCTTGTAACAGGAGAGAGCAATCTTTAGAAAAGGTTCCACTAGATAACAGGGTTGATAGCCCTGTAAATAAATTGTGTTGGCGTAACATGCAAAACGCAATGTTGTGTTTCCTACGAAAAGCCTGCCTGAGGCTGAAATGTAGACAGACCAGATAATCCTCTAAATGTGAGCTCATGTGTGACGTGAAAAAGTTAAAAGGTTTTCGAAAGAGTGTATGATTGATGTTATATTGCTTGAGGCAACTCTGAGTTTCTATCAAATTACATTCAAAGTCCTTAACAGGGAGAAAAACGTTCAGGTAATAACTGAAAAACTATTTTTAATTAAAGATTGCACTTAGTTGTGAATGTTCTTAGAAGCAGGTAAAAGAAAAAAATAAATGGGTAAAAAGTGTTTTGCTGAAAATATAACTACCAATATATTTAAATGTCAAACTATTAAGTAGTGTGTTTACTTTGTATTGCTATACGTGAGCGCTGCTTGCACAAACTCGGTGTTTAGAGTTGAAATGTGGGTCAAGAGTCGGATACAAATGAGGAAGAAAGTCAATGTTTAATTAGCGTCAGTGTCCATTAAACACACTAATACAATTCTATTGTTTTTTTAGTCTAATTAATTCCCTACGACATCCATCACAGAATATATTGTGGATTTATTATTTTCAATATGTCAAATGCCAAAAGGAAACTGCTTTTTACAAAGTACCTACAAGGGCAGAATGGTAGGTTACTGTTTTTCTTACTGCATAATCTTGGCTCGTTCATATTAAAAGAAATGTTACTACCAAATGCAAAATTTCGTACACAAACTATAGACGCAAACTTGCAAGTTTGCTGAAGTCTGCGAAAGGCTTTGCTCCAAAATTACTTAAACCAGTTATTATATTGTCCTTAACACCTCATTAGATAAGAAGAATGTTGACTGAATGGCTAATGATTAGATGAAGTAAGTTAAATCCATTTCAGAAGATAATTCTCTCTTATTCCATTTCTCAGCTGCCTTTTCTAAAACATCCAGCCGTGGAAAGCAGACGTAATAATACCCTGTTAATCATTAAATAATAACATTTGCCACTTGTGTAGCTAATTAGCTTACACGCCCATAAAGTCCATTTAAACACAAGCCACGCCTAATGATTAATATCGAAACTGAATATCAGCTCGCCTGCCATTATTTAGTGTTAAAGAAGCGGGTTGGATAAAAACCCCACATATTAGACTACTTTTGGGAGAATAAGATTTAATGCTAACGTCAGTTACCGCGAAGTGACCAGCTAACGTTAACCCGGGAGCAGATGCACTTTTAGCTGGCGTTAGTGACCAAAACCATGTAGTTTGCTCCTTCGTCCAGACGGGGCTGCTGCATTCACGCGTTGGAACTGTGCCTGAGTGCTGCTTTCTTTGTTCAGCTGAGCTGACACTTGACGTTAAGTTTTCTCTCCAACTCTTTTTTTTATTTCACCAGAACATACAAGCCTTGTTAGCGAAGTAGCGGTTAGCATGTTGCGCTAGCTGGCCGGCTAACCCGCTCAACGGACGGTTAAGGGAAGGAGTCGCGCGAGGGAAGCGGTTTAAATGCGCTGCTTTTTGTCCCGATACCCGGAACACGGAGAAAGTAACACAGCCGCGATTGATTTCCCCGGCGTGAGGCCGCGTCGGTTCGGGACATGGACGACTCGGACACCGCGGCCATCCTCCCTGCCGATGCGCTCGACGCGACGTCCGCCGGCGAGAAAGCCATCGGAGAGGCCGAGGTGACGTCACCGGAGGAGGCCCGCCCCGCACGGCCGCCGTGGAGGTGCCGGCCGCCGGTGTCGGTGGAGCCGGTTCTGTTCCTGTCCATGTTCTCCCTGGCCCTGCAGGCGCCTCTCTCCACGCAGTACCTGTGGGACCGCGTCAGCGAGGACCTGGGCTACAACGGCTCCAAGAGGTCGGAGTGCGGCAACGGCTCCGGGCCCGCCGACCCGCTTCAAACGGTCACTCGACTAATTGATTATAATAATACAACAAATAAAATTCCTTCCCGGGTCACGTGACAGGTCGCTTTGGATCGCGAGGGATGTTGTGATCAGCAGGTGTCAGGTTCGCTGACCGGATACGAGGCCAGGATCGACTATTACCATATGTCATAATGGTGTTATAAGAAACATGTATAACGTTAGGGCGAAAGCTGCCCCTTTGCTGTGTTATATGCCAGTAAAAACATGCAGCACAAAAAAAAAGCAATACACAGACAAAATAAAGACATTTTATTCCCTAAAGATACCAGTGAAGCCACAATAAAAGACAAGAATCCAGTTACGTTTCGGGACTTCTTCAAAGCAAAGTGTGACGATTAAGTGTAAAGATTCAAAGAGGTAGAATCACCAGTGCCTAAAATGCAGGTGCATGAGTTAAAAACAAGTTAGAGAAGAAACTGCAATTCTTTTTTGGGCAATTACAAAAAGAGGAACAGCGGTCACAAGTTGAAACCAAGGGACAAGGAAACGATGAGCATACCCACTTGGAACGTGTGTTCTTTGACTTAAACCGCTTGTTTTACGCATCTAGTTTGGAACAGTCTACTCAGGATCCAAGGTTACTGTTAGTATGTGTAGGATTGGGGACCAAGCACAAACAACCTGAGTATCTAAAGCTGTACTCGCTGATAAATAATTTGACTGGGTTGCAATGGTCATTTTTTTTAAATCTTTTTGCAGGAGGTGGAAACCTTGACAGCCCACTGGAACCTGTACATAAGTCTGGCTGGCTTCTCTGTAGGCCTGCTGGTGGTGCCTCTCCTGGGTTCATGGAGTGACCTCGTAGGTCGCAGACCCGTCCTCATCATCCCCAACCTCGGCCTGGCCATCCAAGCAGTGGTGTACCTGGTGGTGATGTACCTGAAGCTGCCTGTGGCCTACTTTCTAGTGGGCAGGCTGCTCAGTGGCCTTTCGGGGGATTTCAACGCCATCCTTGGGGGCTGTTTTGCATATGTGGCTGACACCAGCGACACAAGGTCCCGCACATTCAGGGTGGCCATCTTGGAAGCTTGTCTGGGCCTTTCCGGGATGCTAGCGAGCATCATCGGAGGACAGTGGCGGCGGGCACAAGGGTAAGAAATTATTTTTGTCAGGTTTTTGAAAGTCAGTGCTCAAAAGATTTGCTATCCAAACGATGCTGTTATGCCTCTATTCAGGTACATCAATCCATTCTGGCTGGTCCTGGCAACTAACTTGGCTTCGGCTCTGTACGCATACCTGTTTGTCCGTGAGTCCGTCGTGCCGGACCCCAGTGCCAGGCTCCTCACCTCTCGCCACTACAAGGCTGTCTGGCATCTCTTCTCAACGGGAGGCAGCGCCGCTGAGGCGGGTGGAAAGTTTCACCGGTGCAAGCTGTGGCTTTACACGCTGTGTTTCTTTGTGGTGGTGAGCGTACACATGGGCTGCAGGGAGTTGTACGTGTTGTACGAGCTGAGCTCTCCCCTGTGCTGGGGGCCGGCGCTCATCGGCTATGGGTCAGCTGCCCAGCACCTGGCCTACCTTACCAGTCTGCTGGGCCTGAAGGTCATGCAGCGCTGCCTGGAGGACTCCTGGGTGGCTGTCGTGGGCCTGGCCTCCAATGTCATCGGCCTGGTGGTCTTCTCTGTAGCCGACACCACCCAGCTCATGTTCACAGGTGAGGAAGGCTAGAGTAAGTTAGTGCCCACCATGTTCAGCCACAGTTGAAAATAACGTCACGTCAACGAAGTGAAAGACGGAACAAGCCTCGTGTGTAACCAGGCAACAACATCTTCAGATTTGTAGTTACACGATGATGTACGGGTCATTTTATGACAAAATAAGAACATATAACAAGAATTCTTATACATACAACGCTAGCAGTGGTCACCAATGCGGTGTTACTATTTTACAATTTATAGTGTAGCGCTTTAGCTGCTGCTAAAGTTCCGATTTGTTTGTCCCCAGGTTATGGCCTGTGTTTCCTCTTCGTGGCTGCAACGCCTGTGCTCAGGTCAAAGCTGTCTAAGTTGGTGGGACCGTCAGAACAAGGTCAGTCACTGATCCATTACAAAGACCAGAGACAAGCAGCTCTGATTTAACTAATTGTTATACTTAGATCAGCTTTAATGAGAGACAACAACCAGCATGCGTTATACATTATGTATGGGTTGGTACTTTCTCCCAGGTGTCCTGTTTGCCTGTGTTGCCTGTGTGGAGAGCTTATGTTTTCTGGTTGGTAGCGGCCTCTTCAATTCCCTCTACCCGGCCACACTGCACTTCATGAAGGGCTTCCCTTTCCTTCTTGCTGCGATCATCCTCTTCATCCCTGCTGGAATTATTGGGTGAATGCTTCTCTTGCCCAATTGGACTAATGGAACTTTTTAGTTACAGTATTAGTGAATTATAGTTTCCAAAGCAAGACCATCTACAAATAATGGAATAAATGATTAACCATTTTTTTAATGTTGTCTTTCAAGTACTCTGCAATGTTTGGACCAGAGGAGAGACCACAGAGACTCCACAGCATCCTGACCTGAAGAGAGGAACCTGTCAGACCGTGAAGGGTCTGACACAGAGACATCAAATCTTCTGATGTTTCATCAAGACATTCGTATGCACGGACTATTGAATAATGTCCCATATATGCTTTCTTTTTGTGATTTGATACATTTCTTAACAGCGTGATACTGCCAAAGGATGTTGCCTTACATTTGCAATTTGAATGTATGATTTGCTAAAGCTAGATAGATAAATCGAGTGATGGTTTATTTTACTTAGATAGTTTATTTGTTTGTTTGACAAGATCAAATCCTTCTCCAACTGCTACACCCTTATCCTACCTAGCCAACTCTGTGGAGTAGTGCAATGCACTACAAGAGAGGAAGGGAGAAACTGTAGCGGCAGCCGGGGAATAATTATTTACACCTTGACCCTCCACCACAAACAACACTGGATAGTCCCAGAGCTCAGGCCCACAGGCAACGTGCACACCGGGGTCACATCCTCCGTCCCCGATGAGGGAAGAAGAGCTGCAGAATCGGCTTTAAAATGCACAAAGGGAATTTTAGAGGTTAAATGAGGTATTAACTCAGCTACTGTGAATTTATCAGCATGACGATTACTCATTCTTCAGATGAATTGTGTGACAAAGTACCTCACAAAGTCTTTTGTTTGAATGTAATCAGTTGTGCAGTGTAATCATTTCATTTATGATTATAGAATTGGTTTAATTTGTCTAATTGTACATGTCACACATTAAATGAGGTTCATATAAAGCCGCTCACTGTTTACATCACCTTTTATCTTCTAAGATGTTTAAAATAAAATGATCTTGGTGACTTAACACTGGTGAATAAAACCTCCAGTTAACAGTATCAAATGGCAGTCCAAAAGACACTGTCACACACACAGAACCATTTTCAGAGTGTTACAGCTTTTGACTACTGTAGTTCATGTATGTCAACTCAACGTTGGTAACACGATAGGAAGGAAACGTTTAATACCACATGCGCATATTGATCGCCTGTACACTCCGTTAATCTGCACATTTTGGGTGCAGTTTTACAGCATCTATATTGCATGTCTGTAGCTTAGACAACACCCGCTGAGGACAATGTCATCGTGATTAGATTAATGCATCTGCAGGGATCTCTTTCTTTGCCATCACAATCAAAACATGAAATGTTTTATGTCAGACCAGCTTTGGTCCCATGAACCTACAGTTTGGGAGTTAAGACAAAAGAAGGTTGCATATAACCGTTGTGATTAATGGATGCTTCAGCTACCAATGATTTTGCTGGGGTGCCAACAAGGGCTGATCTATCACAGTTATTTTCCTGAGAGACAGAAGGCGCATTTTCTGTTCCTGATTACACATCAACAGCAGTATGAGGATACTAGGGTTATAGGAATACAATTAATTATACACAAACTGCAAATCCCCTTTTGATTTAGATGCATTGTTTGCACCGATTACATTAGGATCTTTGTGTGAGCATGTTACCGTAACATCAAATTTACTTCACATGCAAAGCAGGGAAAAGTTGCCGCCCTGTTCACCAGAGGCCACGTGGCGTTTGGCATCGTCTACATTATACGCAGCTGAGATAAAACAGTTTATTTCTTTTTCTCCTCTTTGCCGTCAGTTTGGTCTTGCTGTCCTTTCAGGAAGCGTAGGATCTTCTCGATCGTGGCCTCCTGATATTCATGGGACCATCTGTGTCAATAAACAGGCATTAACGGTTATTTTACAGATCCGCTAAACATAATTTGCCAATAGTAAACCCGTATGTTCGGAAATGAGTCATTAAAGCTTGAAACTGGTTAGCTATCACACAACCAGTTAACTGTTAACCCCGTTGATGTTAACCACTCGGCCATGTGGTGACTGACGTACAATAACAACAACATGTTTTTTTCTCAGTATAGATTAGATTGATTTGTTTGTACTGTTACTCACTTGATGCCGTTGAAGTTCAGAATTGTTCTCATGTCCTCCGGTAGAGACGTGGGATCGGGCCACACAAATTGATCTGTGACAGGAACTATGTTCTTCTTGCAGGTCAAGGCTGTGACTATCTCCTGCAAGATTAAAGTGGATTGAAATACTAAAATGTCCAGACATGGAAAATGCTGTATTGATCTACAATAAGTACGTAATATGTCATTTGAACTGATTGATGAATACAAAATGTAGAATATCTTGATATGGTCTAAAGTTGTTGCGATCAATTTGAACTAACATTTTGACACAGAGGCTCACAAGCAGAGAATGAAAATGCCGACCTTATGCACCCAATCCTTCATGGCAGTGTCACCCATGCAATTGTCGAGCGCGTTGGCAGACAGGACCAGGATGAAATTTCGTGCCCGCTGTACACTCTGAATCAGTTTGTCCTCGAATTTACCAGACTCCAGTTTCTCCACGTCTATGAATACACTGTATCCTCGAACCTGCAGGTGCACCTTCAGAAGACTTGGGACGAGCAAGAGCAAATGAGAAGGATGTAGATTTAGTACACATGCATTTGGACCCCTGTCCGGTTAAACTCTTTTTGATTTCTTTTTTTTTCCTACTAGTCCTGTTTCAGTTCTGACCTGGCCAGCTGGGAGCCGGTGGTCCTGCGGTAGCTGATGAACACGTCGGGCCCTGCAGGCTGGGCGTCTGTGTGGCACGGTTTAAAGGGCCCGCGGTTGGCCGAGAGTATCCTGGCCCTGTGGACTCCGTTGTCTATGTGGCAGTCGTGCTGTAGCTGCTGATCGGTCAGGCTCTGGACGATGTTGCGGTCGACGCCTGACTGGACCAGGCCGTAGGTGTACTGACGGAAACGAGGGTCCAACATGACTAGCCAGTCGGCCATGTTGTTTGGGTCGCATGTGGAGTAGTTGGCGTACGTCTTCAACACACGCAAGTCTCTCAAAAACCTGCGGGGTCAGACAGAGCGGTGTTGTTTGTCAGTCTGGTGTTGACATAGTGCTCGTGTGGTGAAGGATTTGCACCACTTGCCTTTTGCGGGTGAGGCCTGCAGTCATGCCAAGGTCAGTGCTTAGTTCCTGGTCTGTGATGTTCAGCAGGAGGTCTCCGTCCACCTGGAGTTCCTATACAGCAAGACAGTTAGAAATGTCAGATCCAAATTGTATATCAGCTGGATGTGTTGAGTAATAGAATTGTTAAACACACCTGGAAACGGTCGCAGTAGGCACTGAAGCCAACCTGCTGCAGCCAGGTCTGCACTTCACAGGTTTTCCAGTTGGGAACACATGGCAGGATATGTTTGGGTACTTCCTCCCCCATCATGCTCAGTGCCCGCTTGGCGAGGGCACAGGCTGTGCCATTACTGGAGTACATGACTATTCTTTTGAGGCTCTGCACTGCTCCGATCTCTTGAAATATCTTGAAAGGAGCACAATTTCAAACTGAGTCACGACAAGGTTTCCGGACAGTATTACTTGTGAGCTCTAGAGGGACAGTGATCGTACCTTAGTGTTGCGCTGACGAGACTTGATGCTGGTTTCAACACAAAGGTAGAAAGCTGCAATGCACTTTCCCTCCACTCGCGTGCCATCAAGTAACGGCAAGAGGTGCTGCAGATCGGCTGCGGTCTTACCCTGCATGCAGTCCGAACTGTCCAACAAACTGCGTGCAAAGTCATCCGGATCCAAAGAAGCGATGAATGGCTCCACCAGCTCTAAGGTTCCAGACTTCACCACCTCTTTCTCGATTTCTTTGTTCGCAGCCAACACTGTCACCGCCAGACACGCATAGAAGCGAATGAGTTCATCCTCTTTGGAAAAAGCCAGTGGGAAAAGCCACTCGGCTGCCTGTCTCTCGATCATCAACCGCTGGCAGCGGTGGCCTCCGTACATGGCACAGTTCGCCAGCGCCACGGCACAGTGGCGCAGGACGGTGGGGTCCGTGCCCCGGCACCAGAAGAGGAGGGCGTCCAGGGCGCCGTTAGAGATGAGGTGGACCGACGTCTCCTCGCTGTGTTTGAACATGTGCTCCAGGATCCCCGAGACGCTGCGAGCCAGCTGCGCATCTTCCTGATGCCGAGTCAGGTTGAGGACCACCCCGAGACCCATGCGCGCTATGTAATCTCTGTCAACAGAAGTTTGCAGCAAAGAAGTGAGGCACAAGCACGTGAATGAAGTTATTATAGTTTGATGTTGGACTGCTGGTGGAACAAAAACAGTTCCTGTGACTTAAATGGTGGGTGTATTTTTATGGACTAATGAATAGAGGAATCAGAAAAATATGCCGTAAAACAATGACCGGACATGAAAACTATACTGCATATTCTTGTATGTTGGTTATTTTGTTATTTTGTCTCAGTTAGATGTTTTTTTATTGCATTATATTGTAGATTGCCTGTGTGTTTTGTTTCATCCCTGTGCCAAGATGTGCGATGTGGTGCATTTAAGTAGAGGCAGCAAATAATGGCCTCAAAGGTGCATGAGAATGACAAAACACACAAGCAGAAACCACCAATTTAGAGAAACGGCTTAAGGTTGCTTTGGCAGCCTTGTTGTCCTTGTACCTGTTTTCTGAGATCAGTATCTGCTCCAGCAGTTTGGCGGACTCGTACGTGATCTCCACAGCAGGCGTCTGCTGAAGCTGTAGCAGCAGATCCAGGCCTCCATCCAGCCGGATCCTGTTGCAGATCTCCTCGGCCACCTGACGTCCCGCAGCGGGCAAAACCCAGGCCTCCTCCACCAGCTGGAAGAGCTCCGCGATGGCCCCGCGGGTCTCATCCGCGTCGGACGTTTCTTTGGCGGTCTTCAGCCTGGTGATGGCGGAGCGCAGGGCGGGGATGGAGTGCGCGAGAGCCGCCTGGACGTCGGCCCTGATGCCCGGGGAGACCGCTTTGGGTTCGGAGCCGGAGCCGGAGCCGGATCCGGATCCCCTCCTCCCTCTCTGCAGCCGGCTGACATATTCCGGGACCGTGAGTCTCTCCGAGCTGAACATGATGGACAGACGTCGGTAGAGCCTCCACAGGAAGAGCGTCAGAGACAAGAGCATCTACCGGCAGCGACGCGTCACTCCCCGTGGGATGCAGAAACCTGTTTGTTTACAAAATGCCTCTGAACCCCCCCGCCTCTCTTTCCCCACGGCCCCTCTCCCTCCCCCCTCCAGGGGCCTCGATTTAGATTCCAAGTCACAGCTCTCACTGAATCGCTCCCCTGGTGAGCAGACGTCGAGCGGGCGTCAGTGCGTCTGCGCGTAAAGTCGACGGCCGCTGCCGCTTTGTCTCCTTTATCCCGGAGACCGATGCTTCATGCGAGTGTCCTTCAAAGAGGAAACGTCTCAGCGCACAGGACCTGGGAGTGACAGAGCGTGGAGCAGATCTTGCTGTTTTTTTTCCTGAAAAGAGGCGGACGATGGTTGCCTATAACAACGAAGAGCGTTATATATTTAAATATATATAAATTAAATTCCCTCTGCCATCTCATCCGGCGCGCTGTATTGGCTCGTCTCCCCTGCAGATGATATACAGAATGATGCAGCAGCCCTCAAACCGCATCCTTAGGTCAGCATCCACCGGCCTCTGGACTGCTGGTGAAGTGGAAAGTACCCCCCTCCCTCCTCTCTTTACCCAACTCCTCCTCTTCCTCTTCATCAATCAGGCCCTCTGCTGGACAAAGCGGAGAAAAATACCCACTGGTGGGCCGCGAAGGTACTGCAGGTGGGCCGCGATAGGTCATTTACAATAAATAAATAAAATGTTTTTAATTTTCAATTTTGAAAAGTTTAAAATTAATATAAAAATATGTATGATTTAAGTTACGTGCTATTCTTTTATCTGACCTATTTTTGATCCGTTCACTCGAAACGGCTGCTCTTGTCCGCCTGTCATTATTCAACAAAAGGCGCCGCCAAACAAAACAATGTCAAATGGGGCGCCCTCTTGTACTATTACAGTAAATATATATATGAGCTCCGGAGAAAATGGTATACAAAACATACATTGTCGGTTAATACATTTTTAATCTGTTAAATTCTTTAGGTAATTTAATCATCCCTAGTTTATGTTTTGATCCCTAGTTTGAGTTGTGATTAAAGGTTTGGGTGGGCCGCAAAAGATTTTCAGATTTCAAATTGGGCCGCGGCATTCTTGAGTTTGGGAACCGCTGCCCAAGATAATAAATAAAGATTTGGTTTGTCTGCCTCAGAACATCTTGGAAAACGTCACTTATTTTGTGAATGTGAAATTCAGAATATCATATTACTGTCTTTCTAGTTGTAATGATTATTGCAATAATAGATAAAACAAAAGAACGGATATTGCAGCATTGAGGGATTCCTTGTTATGGGGATGTTTGTGATCTTTCCACAAACTCATTACATTAGGTTCTTGTGAAAAAAAATGAAATTATGACAAACAAAACTGCTGCTTAGACTTAGACACAAACACAAAGCTAAAGATATCTGTGGTCACGCTGTTCTGCAGTTTTAAAATCTTCTTTACCAGCTCATAGCGGTTTAACGGCATGACACAGCCGGCTGGTACATTATCTCCGTACTCAGGATCCACTGCGGCCTCACAATGATACCAGGTGACAAGATATCTGGAATCACCACAGTTCATGTTGCACTACTCATACTGCAGAGAAAAATCCCTGCTGTGTGACAAATGACCCAGATTGCAGTAAAAATCACAAACTAACCCGGTCAGAGGTCAACAGGCTCTTTCTCATAGGACTTCTCCCTGTTTATTTGCTTGGGTTTTGCTAATAAGGTTAAAGTCAACAAGGAAGCGGGGTGACTGACACATGTTTCCAATGATTGCGAGCACACGGCCCGTCGTTAGTTTTTCATTTCGTCCTCTCACACAGCAGAGGCAACATGAGGCTGTGGGCCGTCCTGCCGCTGGCTCTGCTGGCTCGAACCTTCGCTGCAGACGGTGAGTACAGCATTAAAAATAACTTTTAAAGCTGAAAGAAGTAGTTTTAGTTTGCAGATAGAGGAGTGTTGCCATCTGTGGTTCATCATTCACTAAAGGGTCAAATTGACTGTGTCCTGCTTACTACATCAAAATGACACGACAAACACCCAAATCCATTTATGTTTCATTCATTTAACAACTCAGACACATCAACTTTGGGTGTTTTATGTACACAAGTAAACCATTTTCCATCAGAACGGCTTGTAACTATTTTTAACATGCTAGCAAATAATGAAAAATACCATCACAAATGGCCAGAACACAAAGTGGAATCTTCAAATGGTTTGTTATGTTTCACCCGCAGTCCAAGGATCTACTTTGTACTTGAATTTCTAAAAAGATCAAAAAGTTAAAAGCTGTAATCATCACATTCATTGCATTTCTTTTTATTGATGACTTAAAAAATGTAGCCAATACGAACATATTATGATCTGTTTATCAATTGAGTGGAATTGTTCAGCACTGATGGATGTTATAGTATATATAGTAGTACTAGTATATATATACAAATATAAAGTTAGAAGAAGCACGGTAAGATAAGCACGCGCAACAAAGAGAGTCACAATGAAAGAAAAAAATGTTCCATCAGCCTTTGCCGTCAACGTCTACATTTAACTTTGTTGTCCAAAGGAGTAAGTACACATTCGTCTGAGCTGCGAAAGGTCCTCAAATAAATCAATAGAGCCAATCAAGTTCTCTTTCTCTTTTGTCATTTTTTTTTTTTATCTCCAGAGTCCTGTATGGGACGCTGTGAGAATGGCTTTGACTCGCGGATGAAGTGCCAGTGTGACTCCATGTGCAAGTACTACAGGAGCTGCTGCTATGACTTCGAGGTCACCTGTGGCATGACGAGTAAGCGACCTCTCTGCTCACAACAACGTTCGCCGAGACAGTCAAAATGGGACACTGATATCACTTTCCCTCCCTCAGCTCGCGGAGACACCTTTGTGTTTGCAGAGGACGATGACAGCGAGCCGTTCGAAGACACCACTCCGTCGGCTGGACGTCCAGCACACGACCCGTCCTCTTCTGTTATCGATCATCAGCCCCGGCCACTGCCGGAGCAAATCTCAGACTTTGGTCTACTACCGCAGCGACATCCAGAAACAGCACTGGAAATGACCAGACCCCCTCGACTGGTGGAAACCCTGCTTCGGAAAACCGCCGTGACCGAGAACACACCCATTTCGCAGACGTTCACACCTACAGAGACAGTCCTCAGTAACACCAGACCTTCTGCGGGTGATGCAGCAGCCGAGACCACCACTGGGGCCGCCACAACAGCTGCCCCCACTAAAGCCCCCGACCCAGACGCCGTGGTCTGTAGTAGGAGGCCTTTTGACTCCTTCATGCAACAAAAAAACGGCTCCATATTTGCCTTCAGAGGTGAGTGATCCCCTTATTCTTAAATGTGGTAATCGGACATTTGATCAAACAAAACTTAAAGAGCGCAGTCCATGTGTTGCAGTGGGAAATGCCCGCGAACGTCTGTGTTTTTGTCTCTAGGGGAGTACTTTTTTGCACTGGACCGGCAGTCAGTGCTTCCCGGTTATCCAAAGTTGATAAAGGACGTGTGGGGCATCAGCGGGGCAATCGATGCGGCCTTCACCCGCCTCAACTGTCAAGGGAAGACATACATCTTCAAGGTCGGGAGACAGGAAATTGTTTTGATAAGATCACGTGTGTCGCACCCCTGTTGTCATAACCATTTAACGTTCAAACAAACCCTCCATAGGGGGACAAGTACTGGAGGTTTGATAACGGCGTGCTGGATGACGACTATCCTCGAGACATCAGCGTGGGCTTTGACAGGATTCCAGATCATGTGGATGCAGCGTTCGCTCTTCCGGCTCCTGGTTACAATGGGAAAGAGAAGGTCTATTTTTTCAAAGGTGCAGCCAGACGTTACACCTTACATCCAGACATCTTGATTGGCAGTACTGTGAAAAATACTTAACTTACCCAACATTAAGTGACTTCTTGTTGGTTTCTACAGGGGGTCAGTACCACGTGTACGAGTTTTTGCACCAGCCGTCCCATGAGGAGTGTATCACCATGACGGAGAGGTCACCGTCCACGCTGTTCAGGCACTACACCGACCTTTACTACAACAACTATGAACGCGTTATCAGCGAGCTCTTCTCTGGCAGTGAGTTGTGGCGTGATCGATCATCACCTGTTTTGAGGGCGACGGGTTGTTTCACACAGCTTTTCATGTGTTTCTCTGACCTTCTTCAGCGCCTCAGCACCACGACAGACATCACTTCATTGACAAGGACTGGAAGGGCCTCAAGTCTCCGGTGGACGCCGTCATGGCCGGCAGAATGTACGTCCCTCCCGGGAGGCTCGCGCAACCGCACAACGACGACTGGCCGGACCAACGGGGGGCTGAAGGGCGAGGGCAGCAGTGGAACCAGCAGTACCAGCAGTATGGACAGCAGTGGGACCAGCAGTATGGACAGCGGTGGGGTCGAAGGAGGCAAAGGCGCTCGCCCTTCTGGGGGTCCGTGGCTGAGCGGGGGATGAACATTGGACAGGGCTTTGCAGAGATGGGTTTGAGGTTGGCAGAGAGGAGGATGGAGACAGCGGAGAGGTTCGGACGAGAGCAGGACAGGCTGTGGGATCAAGACTGGGACCAGGACAGACGGAACGACGGTTACCGTCACAACAACAGAGGCAACTATGACTCCAGAGACGACGGGTCGTACTGGGGGCCCATCCGGGGGCTTCTGCCCGTACAGAGCGTCTACTTCTTTAGAGGAGGTAACTCAGCTCGGACGGATTCATCGGTATTGCCATTATTATTCAATATCTATGGCTTTGTTTAAGTTAAAAGACGAGGTGGTCATGGCCCCATTTGTGCCTGGGAACATGTTTTGGTTTTCTTAAGACAAAATTGAGGACAGAAGACCTTTGTGAAATGAGGTACAGATGTTGAGAGCAACTGGGAGGGCAAACAGGAACTCATTTCAATCAAACTTTCCCCAGCTCCTTCCAGCTACAAGGCTTAATGTAACCAGTTTAATATGCCGTGTAAGTCAAGATGCCTAAAATAACTGCAGTTCTTGTGTATTTACGTGTACTTTAAGTGAAATTTGTTATCAGGTTTACGATTAGCCAAAGGATCATAAACAAATCGTTTTGATCCATGTAGACACTGGTTACAAGAGATTTTACTGACTGAGAGTTAGATTTCCTTCACACCACGTGATCAGAGATATAAAATGACATGAATTGAATGCTGTTTCTGTGTTTTCCAGAAACGTACTACCGAGTGGACCTCAGGACAAAGAAAGTTGACCACGCCAATCCTCCTTATCCCAGATCCATCGCCAAGTATTGGCTTGGATGTTCGGACACCACTGGGGCAGAAAAGTAGTTTGAAATATCTTGAGTATTTTTAAATGAGTAATTTGGTCTACAACAGAAACAGGCAGTGGCAGTTAAACATCTGACACACTTGCTCAGTAAATGACTGCGCATCCACACAGCAAATAGCGAATATTCAAAGTCCACACACAGCTGCTCTCCACTCAGTAGTTTGCCTCAACATGACCAAAGTCCAACTGGTTGACGAAGCTTCTCTCGTCTTGGCGTCAGCTGACCTACTAAATTAAACACAACAAGCATGACCTGTCGTTGCAAAAGTTAAACTCTATATTTTGATGGATGTATTTTTGGTAAATGATTATTATCAATCATAAGCGTATAGACAGGGGAAAACTAAATACAACATTTGGCACATAATTGAGTAATGAAAATGAAAACAAATCCCAATTCCCCTATTTTGCAATAGCAACTCATCGGCAGCATCACGCGTCACAGTGCAGGTCAGAGAGCAGTGATAGGTGAATACAAAGATTCTTACAATCCCAATTCTAAGTAGGAGAGCACAAAATATGACACTACAAAAATACATAGAGGTTTCAACAATGTACTGTTACTGATTGAGTCCCTTTAGATTGCACAACCTGTTATAGTTTGTCTTAGTTGTATTTGCATTCATGACAAATAAATATGTCTTCCTCCTACTACTCAGATGTCTTAATGTCTGTTTATCCCTCACCTGAGTAGCAAGCAAACACTCGCCCAGATTTTTCAGTATGCATAAGGTTCTTATAATTAGAACAATGATCTCGTTCTTTATTTTAGTTTTTTTATTACATATGTTGCATAAATGACAATATTTATCTGTGCCTGTACATTGTGTACCAGATAACACCACAATAACTCCAGTCTTTATCACTTTATAACTGCAGAGTAACAATGAGTGTCTGACTCACACCTGCTGACGTCTTTCTTCTCACAATGTTAAGAGCGTTTAATCTGGACATTTTCATAGCAGGGTTCGTCATTCGCACCGACCGCTGCGCCTTCATTGTCGATGACCTCAGTGAGACTCGCAGCGTCTCCTGCTGGTCCTACAGTCAGGTAGGTGCCCTCGGTTTTTACTGCACTCGGGTCACCGCTCTCAGCCCTGAGATCCGACCCAGAGACGGACGAGACCACCTCTGGCACGCTACTCAAAATGAACGACAGAGGCCGCTTTGGCGTGCCGCTCTCCACCGACGGACTGTCATTGGGACCCGCCGTGTCACCCGGCGGGGTGAGAGCAGCATGCTTTCTCCGGATTGGCTTACATATGCCCACCTCCCCTCCAGGTGGGCCTCCCTCCTCCCACACACTTGCCCGAGCTCCGAGCTTCCTCCTCGGCGGTTTGGTAATCCCTTCGGCTCCTTTGGCCTTGGGCTTGCCAGTGTCCTGCTCCCGTTGTCTCTGGAGGCTTCCGAGTCGCCGCAGCATGGCTTGAACGGGCCCTTCGGAGCTCGTCTCCGTTTTCGATGCGGGCCTACCCGCCTTACCCACCGTCACGTACACTGTGGTGACCTTATCCAAGACCCCCACCTGAGATGTCGGCGTCTGGCTACATTTCTGAGCAACAGTGTTGGACATAGTTCGCCTTCGCCCAGATGTCCCGGGGACGTGCAAGGTGTCCCGGGAAGGAGTTCGGTGTAGTTCCTGGTCCCCCGGCTCACGGCTGAAATCCTCATTGTCCGACGCCTGCACATCGACTCCATCCTCCCCCTCCTCGCTCTCAGCCCCATCTTCCTCCCCGGTTCTCGAGGCGCTCCCCTGACTTTGGAGGGCAGACAGCATCAAAACCCCCCAGGGTGACTTGGGTTTGTTGCGCCCAGGGAGGGCGCCGGGCTCCTGAGCCGAGCCACGCCTCTCCTTGGCGCCGAAGCGGGTGCCCTCTGCGAAAGAGACGGAAGGCCGCTTGGACTTGGCGATGCTGGAGGTGCGAGGGATGTTGAAGGGCGAAGTGATGTCCTCGCTGCTGAAGCCGGACGGGTCCAAGAACATGTTGCACTTCGAGCTCATCTCGTGGAACTCGCCGCCCGCCACCTCCGGGATGTCTGCCAAGGAGACGGAGACAGAAAAGCCCAGGAGCATGAGAACGGATGGACGGAGGGAGGGGGGGTTGCAGTGGAAGTTCTGCTACCCTCAGTAAAAAGGGCAATGTAAGTCTGTTTCATCCTTAAACCTACCTTCTCTTGGAGGGACACAGTAGAGCGCCTCCTCCTCCTCCTCCTCATCGCTGTCGAAGGACGACCCCTCCGTCACCCAGCCAGAGGAAGGAGGCTCAATGAAGCTGTGGTTGAACGTCAGCTCTGGGTCATGGTGAGACACTGTGTGTGTGTGTGTGTGTGTGAGATTAAAAATAAAACAGTGTAAAATCAACACATGTCTTAGTCTGTATCAAGAGACGCACTTAAAATAAAATAACACTTTTATTTAAACAACCAAAGTCTTTATGAGGAAAAGGTTCATTCATTCATCCTTGAACCTTTACTATTCACAATTTAGGACTCCTGTCGTTGAAGAGTTGGTACACAATCCATGACTTACAATATATTATTATACAAAGCTTATAAAAAAGGCTTTATTGTATATTTACTATACACATTGTGCTGCAGGACTGACCAGTGACACGAGGCAGGCCAGACGACCAATTGGAAATACAGGGGAGGGCAGCACCGATGTTAGCCAGGACGCTGTAAACGTGATATTTCACCCGAACTGAGAGGCCTCCATCGGCAACGGCCGCCCTGGAAGACAGAAGGTTCGACTGGGTGGCATGACTTTCAAATGTTAAGGAAGAATAATCTAGTGAATACTTCCAGATTTTGAGTGTTGTTAAAATAAATAATCTTTGGTCTTGTCTGAAGTTGTAGCAGAAAAAGAAAACTGCTAGTCGTGACTCAGAGTCCAAGCTGCATATAAAAGTTAGTAATGTTTGCAATTCTACAAAATGCTTAAACCGTTTGGTTTGTGGGCCTGGTATTGGTGGGAGTGAGAAACAGACCTGTCTTTGCCATCAACAGGACCTCCTCCACAACACAGACAGCAGCAGAGCACAGCGAGCAGCAACAACAGCAACGGAACGAGGATACCTGCCAGGACAGCGGCTCTGCCACCTGATCACACACACACACACACACACACACACACACACACACACACACACACACACACACATAATGAAACAATTGATGCCCTTCAGGGTCATATACACTTGTCCAAACACCAGCATACACCGATTCTATTGGGGGGACGTACTGTTGGGACAGGAGCCGGTGACTGGGTCGCAGATGTCCCCCTCGCTGCAGCCACAGGCCGAGGAGCAGTTGAGGCCGAAGCGCAGGGCGGGGCAGCTGCTGTTACAGCTGGAGAAAAAATGTTATATAATTATATAATTTATAAAACCACAGGGAAGAACATATTCACACCGAATGAACACCAGATGTATTTCAGGGGACAGTGAAAATACTTCACTGTAATGACAGTAGTAAACATTGAAAACAAAATGATTTTTTTTTTCATGTTTTAACCTGAAAACCTCCAATTAACTATAAGGTAACTAATAAGGTGCTAGCAATTATTTTCTAGGGCATCATTTGCTGCATGTACTTGAAGTATACTAACGTCTTGCTGTGAAAAGTCTCATTTATTGGGCTTAGGAAGCAAAAACAAATCCATCTTTTTGTTCGCTGACCAGGTATAGTGTGTGTATCAGTTAGAAGAATAGACTTTGGCCTCGTTCATTTGGCTCAAAACATCAATGAATTTGTCTCAGTTTAATGCCTACATACAAATGTATCAGGCCCTTTTCCAATCTGCTGACAGTGCACTTCACACGCACCTCTCTCCCTGAAAACCTGGCTGACAAACACATCTTCCTGTCACGTGATGGCAGTCGCCATGGAAACAAGGGCTGCACGGGGAGCTGCAGGCGTCTCCAAACGTCCTGTTGGAGCAGGCCTCCTCGCACCTGGCGACAGGGAGCAATGACCAAGGACACGAACAGTCATTTCACAAGCATTACCAATCCTGAAACTTATTCCACAACATGTGTATAGCATTGTAGGCAGAATCCATCTCCATCACACCCACTCATTATAACTGTCCACACAGTGTAAAGCCGCCACTTTAGCAACACGAAGATGCTTTACGCAAACTTAACATCAATCAAAGACTCAAAATGTCATTCCATTGGTTTAGCGTGTATTTTTTTTACAGTGAACTTTGAAAAAATCCACAAATGTTGGTAATGCTGGTAACCTTCGGTCGCATAAGCAACAAAATGATCAAAAGTGCTCATGTATGCCTAAAACACCACCGTTGCTCACCTGGGTCCTGTCCATCCAGGGTCACACCTCCAACATTGTCCAGTTTTGGGGTCGCATGGCTCGTTGTTCCTGCAGCGTGGACACGTCTCCTGGCAGCCGTCCCCATATGAACCAGACGGGCACGGGCGGTCGCACCGCGTGCCGTTCCAGCCGGATTCACAGGCCTCACAGGAGCCGTCGGTGTCCGAGCAGAACTTTTTGTCTCTACAGAATCCGCAGCTGAGGAACAACGAGACGAACACGGAGTCATCAGTGACACCCGGGGTATAGAAACCAAACAAATGTATCTCCTGACACCCACCTCATTTCACAGCCGCTGCCGTACTTGCCACCTTCACAGGGCTGGTTGCAGAAGACACCCTGGAACCCCGGGTGGCACAGGCACTGCCCGCCGGCCGGGTCACAGCTGCTGTGGGTGAGGTCACAGTTACATCGCCGATCACAGCTGGGTCCCCACCAGCCGGCCTCGCACTCACACATACCGGTACGCTGGTTGCACTGCGACAGGTAGCAGTTGCAAGAGGCAAGACATTTGAGGCCCCAGTGGCCCTTGAGGCACTGACAGCGGCCCGTCAGCTGCTCGCACCCGGGGCCCGCAGAGCCCCCGCTGACGCACTGACACGGCTTGGAGCAGGTCGCCGTCCACCAGCCCCCGTCGCAGGTGCAGTTTCCGTGGACGGGGTGGCATTGGCCGTGCCGGGCGCACTTGCACGCGTGCTGGCACAGCGGGCCCCAGCGGTTGGGGTTGCAGGTGCATTCACCAGTGGCCGGGTGGCAGCGGCCGTACGGGTGACACTGACACACCTGCCGACAGTCCGGAGCCCAGAAATCAGGGGGACAGCCTGGTAACAAACAAATTCATAGAGTGCACATATTAACACACTAGTACCGAACAGGACAACCATGTTGTAACTGCTGACGCGCCAGCCTCCACTTTGAAATTAGCCTGTAACTAACCTTTTCCTTTTAAATCTAATCTGAAATTAGAAGGAAGTGTAGGAAGGAAGGAAAAAGGTCTTTTATTCTGGAATTCTACATAAGAATGTCCTGGTATACAGGTCATCTGCCATCAAAGCCAAGTGTGACTACTTACTTTGTGTAACTTTAAAGTTTCTGATTTGATGTAATGCATTTTAAAATCATAGCATTCAGCATCAATCAATCTGTCTGGCCCTTCATGGTCCTTTTAAGATAGGACAACTGATATTTAGTGCATTGTAAATCAAACTGACAAAACACACACGTAATTGACTTTAAATAGCTGTTATTTCATGTCACTCACGTGTTTTACAGAGAGCTCCGTAGTAGCCAGGTGGACAGCGACACACTCCAGGATGCACGCAGATCTCGTCCTTCGGGCAGGCCTGCTCTCCTTCGCACACAGCTACGCACAGACACACGCACACACACAGTTAATGAAAGACAGAGGCAGTGGAGGCATAATCCCTGCTTGTGTCCATTAGAGCGGTTAAACTCACGTATGGGGCACTCCTTTCCCTCTTGACGCCACCCAGTGCAACAGACCGAGGCTAACGGGTTCCTAAATACAAAGAAAATTATAAAATTAGAAAGAAGGATTTCAAGCTAACTAAGAAACCAATTAAAAGGAGAAAAATATATACAGATTGATCTTTATTAGAGAAGAATTCATTAGAAATAGAATCAGAATCATCTCTGCGTACACAGACATTGAATGTGACTCCGGTTTTCCATTTTGTAATTTTTCTACCTGAAGGGGTGTTAAAATGAAATCAGTGAGCGAATATAAAGTTTTACCTGACATTGGGGCAGACGTTCCTCCCGGCAGGACTCAGTGTTTGGGAGCAGGACAGCGAGCAGCAGAGCAGAGCACTCAGAGCTCCCAGTGAAAACTTCATCTCCACCAAAATGTCCCAGTATGTTCTAGTTGTCTCAAAGTGTTCTCCGTCCAGTCAGAGGGAGCACAATGAGAGGCGGTATCTCTCGTCCTGTCCGCCCTCCACCCTTCTTCCTCTGCGGTGAGTCGTCTTGTGGCTCCACTGCAGCCAGAGAGGTCGAAACCCCCCCCCCCGGTTTCCTCTTCCCATTTCCTGGGGAAGTTAGAGCCACTTCCTCCTATTCAACCAGACACAGAGCTTTTTAAAGATGGTTGAACACCGACACGCAGAACTCCACCGCACACACTGGTGGGGCTCGCACAAATGCACACCCCTAGTGTTCATCCTTTTTTCCCAGAATGTGTTGTTGACAGTCTTCCAGGACGTGATTAAGAAAGCCTTCGCCCTCCTTATAAGTCCTGAAACTTATACAAAGATGATCACGTGATTACTTTGAGCTCTTCCATCAGGAGCAACAATCAGGGCACAATGCTGTTTAATAAATCGGATCTTCTCTTTTCTTGAATGGTGGGGAAAAAACACATTGACATTTTTGTAAAATACTGTGTTTAATGAATATTCAAATATCAACATTGAAATAAATCCACATTTTCAATGCGTTTTATCACATTTCATCAATAAAATTCAAACATATGGCATCTAAAATCTGTTTTGTCTGTAAAAACATGATTCCCCAAATAAAAAGCGAACCCAGTATCTTAGGAGAACACCCCCCTGATTGCAAAGGTCATTATTGTCTAAACAAATAACCCACAGGTCTGTGTTTGCCTCGTGTAAAGGTTCAGCTTGTGATAATATGAACAGCCTTTCCATAGACGCTATTTGCTTTGTCCATTCTGGGCTGCTGCAGACACCACTAAGGTAAGACAAACTGAAGTATTCTTATTTTGAAGAGATTATACACAAAATAAAATATACTTATAAATATTATATTACATTTCTGCCATTAGCTCCCCCAAAATGCTTAACACGTTCCTTTAGGAGGGAACAGAGGTCAGTGAAGGATCTGCAGAGGCTGATGCCGTACAGACAGAATACATGTGCATACACATACACATACACATACGCATACACATATGCAGTTATGGCACCGGCATCAAACACACACGCACCAGTCAAAGGCTTTGAATCTCTGCAATGACAGAACATAAGAAAACATATCTTATAACAATACAAGTGCTTAATTAAGGCTCTCCTAGCTGCAATAGGCTGGTACGACAGAAACTTCATCATAAAAGTGCTTCAAATCATGAAAAATACACGAGTCAGATGGCTTAAAAAGTTCAAAGGAAATTTTGATTGTGAACTTATATTACTGGAGGGGTGAATTTCATAATATATTTCATGGTGTCTTTGGTTTTTGTTAAAAATGTTTGTAGATCTATATAAATATATATGTGCAATAACTTATTATTACACTTTCCTGATGATGAAAAAGACCGTTGTATTTATACTTGAGGAATCTATATGTGGTTTAAAAGTATCACGTTATGTATTTTGTACTGTGATGTACCATTTATGCTGTATTACTAGTACACTATATACGTATTTATGACCACTTATATCAAAATATAAGGGTACAAACAGCAAGACAAGAAAGTAAGAAAAGGGGAAATGGAAAAAAGAAAAGCTAGTTCCCTTCCATTCACTTTCTTTTTCTCACACTCTGCTTTTGTGTCTTTCACACTGGGGCTTCGTTCAAATGTTCACGTGAGGTTTTTTTTCTTTCCTGAACCACATTTTGTGTCACAAGCTGAGGAAGAAGTCTGGACTGAGGGGAAGGGGGGTCTCCCCCCCTCAATGTGAACTCAGCGTGGCGTACTCAGGGGCGGCGGTTCCCTTCTCATCAGCGGTCTCTGAGTCTCCGAGGATCTCCCAGCTGGAGGCGGAGTTGCTCGTGTGGGCGGAGCTCCGGCCGTTGCCCGAAGAACGGGTCAGGAAGCCAAAGCTGCAGACAAAAGAGCAAAACAGGCCTGAGGTCAGATCCACTGTCAGGAATTACTGCTAAATATAGTCCTGGTATAACGGAGTTCTCGAATCGGTGACAGCTTCAACAGAGAGAAATGAAATAAGTGCCGGAATCAGAGACAATAACATCTGGGTTGCTGCTGCTCCTGGTTTGCATTTAACGGTGGTTAATGCCATTAATGTGACATTCGCGTTACTTACTGCCCTCTACTTATTTTACGAGTACATTTTCTCAAATTGTTGCCGTGTAAATAAGATTTCCTTCCCTGCGAGTTACACCCTGTTAGAACCAGTCCTTATTCCTCATTAGTTGGAGCGTGTTGGTGTATCTCAACATGTGCACATTTCAGAGAAAATGGACTTAATCTAAGGGTAAACCTAATCCATCAAAAACATCTATTTTGTTGCTGAAATACTAGTACATTACATTACATTACAGGTCATTTAGCAGACGCTTTTATCCAAAGCGACTTACATTACACTTTAAACCCATGGCTTTTTCACATTTTTGCCCGGGGAGCAATTAGGGGTTAGGTGTCTTGCTCAGGGACACTTCGACATGGAACATGGGGCAGCCTGGACTCGAACCACCAACCTTGTGCTTCCCAGCACACCTTCTCTAACCCCTGCGCCACGACGACCCAGTAAAACCTCTAAAGTGTGTTTCGGTGTTAACATTCTACTTCAATAAAATTAATGACAGTTTTTCTCTTATATGAAAATATACGGGTACAAACAGTAAGAGAGGAAAGTAAGAAAAAGGGAAATGGAAAGAAAAGCAAGTTCCTTCCATTTACTTTATTTTTGCTTTTGGGTTTTTCAAACGCATTCAAATGTCCACGTGAGGTTTTTTTTCCCTGAACCACATTTTGTGTCACAAGCTGAGGAGTTTAATTTAGTCCTAATTAAGGCAACTTGCTTCAGTGGGTAAATAGCCTTAAAATGAAGAGAGTTTTCCTAAACGTTTCTCTCCCCCCCCCCCCCCTCAGGCTTCAGACAAACAGCACAACGATAATCCTGAGGTTTCATGTCCGGAGAAACCGTCTGTGCGAGTCAGACCGACCTCTGGGTCAAAGGTACACATTTACACCACTGTAAAGCCCATGTGGGTAAGAAAATACACTTTTCTCCAAAAAAAAGAACATAAGCAGTGACAGATACTTTCATACAACCACATCCCTTCTGGCGCTTTGCGTGAGCTTTGCAGTGTGACAGCGTGAGTCAAAGTTGAACTTACAGATTACGAATGCGCGACTCGGCCGGTTTGTCAGCGCCGTCAACTTCGGAGCCATCTACTCGTGTCGGCCCAAAGAGAGAACCCCTCTCCTCCTCGTCACTGCACAACAAACAGTGATTGTAAATCAAAACATCGCTTTTGAACAGATCTCTACCCCGGCTCGTTGTGTCTGGATGTGATGTGAACGCGTGTTTCTGAGAGACCTGCTGCTGTAGTCGTTGACCCCGATGCCGAGCATCTTTGCTTTAATGAGCTTTCTCCTTTTTTTGATGGCAGAGCCGACGGCTTCTAACAGGAAACCTGGGCACCGCTCTTCATTCAGGATCTCCCTGCAGAAACACACAATCATCTTCCTTTGAAACATTCAGATCGCTATGGAAACGCTTTTACACACACGCGCGCGCACACACACACAGCAGACCCACCTCTGATAGTAGTTGAGTTCCTCCTGCACCAGGAAGAGGTTGGTTTTGAGCTCGTTCCTCTCAAAAATGATGTCGCGCACCTCCTTTTTGGTGAAGCACGGCCTGTCGGGATCCTTCTGGTCCACTGTTGTCTTTTTCTTGGACTCGCGCGCCATCAGACTCGAACTGGACTGATGGGAGAACAGAGACATGAGGTCAAAACTGCTTAAAACCACAGTCAACATCACACTGTCGAGTCCTGATGATTGTTTTGGTGGCCTTTATACTTCGGCTTTGAGCCGATTGCCTGCATTCATCCTTGCTCGGTCAGACAATACAGAAGTGTCTCTTTGTAGTTTGATTAGTAGTACAATATTTTTAACCTTTCTGTCAATTTACCTTTTTAAATACTCAGGTCTTTTCCAGGACATTTAAGAACAAGTCACGCAGCAGAATGAGTTGTCTGGATCAATAATGAAGCTGATCGAATTTTTTAATAAAATGTAAATGCATCACTGAATTCGAGAAGCAAACACACACTCTATGAGAGGAGTAGAAATAGGACGTGTGAATGAGGGGTTTAAGAGCAGTGCGTACCGGGCTGTTGCTGTTGGTTTTGTCCATCTGGGTTTGGAGGTTTTCTATCTCTTTGGTTTTCTCCTTCAGGTCGGCCTCTATGTCGGCCTTCCTCTCCACGGTGCTCTTCAGCTGCGCCTGCAGCACGTTCTGCTTGTGTCGCAGCTCCGCGTTCATCTTCATGAAGCGCTCCAACTGCTCCTGGAGCTGCACAACACGCACATACAGAGATCAACCACTGGCCCCGACATGGTATGAATGTAGTTGAACTCATTAGAAACAAGCCCCAGCTGAACCAAAAAGACAATCTATCGGCAATTGTGGAAAACGTCTCCATTGGTGACATTTGGAAAAGTCTGGGGGACGGAGCTGCAAGTGTTACACAACTATGTAACTACGCGCCATTAAATATATTTTTTTAAAACATGTCATCTTGACATGTCAGCAACATGAAAGGAGGCCTTTAAGCAAACCGACCTTAATAGCCCCAGCCAGAAATATCACAAAAGTGTGTGTGCGTCCAAATTTGAAGGACAACAGCTTTCCTTGAACTATCATCTTCAGGCCAGAAACCAAGTGACCGGCGGCTCATCGGGTAAAGGATGACGATGTGTGAAGAACGAGGGGAGAAGCTGTGCGCGGGCGAGTTGTTTCCGGCCATGAACATACGTGTGTGTTTCTCCTTACCGCCTCTGCCTCTTTGGAAATGGTGGTTATCTCCTGGCCTTTTGCCCTCAGCTCATCTCTCTGCTTGTCCACCACCTCCTTGAGCTTCAGCATCACCTCCCGCTCTTGCCTCTGGGCGCGGTCTGCACACACAGACAGGGAACCTTCTTTTACCCTGAATTTAGAGTCAGGATCACCAGTTGATGACATCATTCAGCAATGCAATAGGTAGCGCTATATTGCTCACATGGTGAAAAACGATGAAGATGAAGTAATGAAGATTACTACGTTCAAACTGACAATACTGCACACAGTCCTGACGTGTTACACTGTTTCTGTACTACATGCCCAGGGTTTGAGATACATCTCTAACACCACCGAGGCAAGTTCCATTGGAACAACCGTCTTACAGCAACGAAGGGGATTATCCAGAGTTCATCTTGGTTCAGATGCATTTCGTTCTGCCACATAGCACAAACAACATTCCATGAGCTGCGTTGTATCTGTAGAAATATATCCAAACCGGCTAAAACCAAACCAAAGCCATCGCACATACATTCATGGAGGGATGTTTTTTGTTTGGTCTATGATCTGGATTTACTGTAGACATACTGCACTATAGACATACTGGTGCTGCAGCAAAATAAGGTGTGTCTTTCAAACCACATACTATTGTCCCTTATTGCTAAACCATTGTGCATAAACTGAAATAAAGTACTTAATTCTTAAGTTAAAGTTGTTTGCGTGAAGCATTGGAGCGCTGCAGGCGTCACATTCATAACTTAAAACGAGTGATCACCTGCCACATGAATTAAACACTTTTAAGAACTAATATTACGTTGTGTTTTTCCTGTCAGTACAAGAAAACAAGAGTCAGCAAACTGTCTCCACCCTATGGCTCACATTACTGTGGTAAGATTCTTGACACGCTAAAACTTGTCCGGGAAAACCTAATGAAAACTAAACACCAAACACCAAGCTTCAACTTGACCACACAAACTTAAATTTCTGTAATTATTCAGCCATATATTCACTTCATAATAACAGTCATTTTTTTAGTCCACCATCTTTATGTGTTACTACTTTCTGCCTCGTGCATACAACTGTTATAAATAATATGTTGCATTATTTCATGGATTGGTGCATTGATCGCTATGGTGTATTTTGGAGCTGATTGGGGAAGAAATTTACCAAATGTCCAGTTTCCAAAAATCCCAAGCACATTTAAGGTTTGCGTGATGATCCAGGGATCTACCTTCCTGTGCATGGCTGCCCTCAAGTCTGCTCTGCAGCTCCTCTCGATCCTCCTGGAGGTGCTGTACTTGGGCCTCCAGCTGCTCACACCTCTGTCTCCACTGCTGCTCTTTCTGCTGCAGCTGCTGCTTCAGATGATGGGAGACAGACTGTAAAACCGCCGTCCTCTGAGATGTGAGAATAAACTTACTCAATGTAATGGCCTTCTGTGCTGTTACAATGTCACAAGCGTGTAAATATTTGTCTTCAGGTTGGGACAGTTTGGTGTTGAATCAATACAAATGTTGTGTTGAAATGATTTCAATTTCTGAGAACCTATTTTATTTACTGTCTCAGTACAGATTAAAGCTGATTAGCAGATCATGAATAAGCACTACCAGATCTAACTACATGGAGGAGAACATGTGACAATGTCGATTGTCTTCCATTGTCGTCGTACTCTCTGCTGTTATGAGCCAACCACCAAGTCAAATTCCTTGTATGTCTGACGTATCATGGCAATAAATGTTTCCTGATTCCTGAAACGACAAAGAACACATTCTTTGTTATGCCTTAGACGGTAAGGTTAAAGTATTAATAACTAATCCTTTCTTTTCCTTTACAAAAAATAGTTAAAAGATTGGTTGTCCCACAAAAATGAACTCCTTTGCTGTGTTATTTAACTACAACACAGCACAGTGACAGGAGCCTGCTGTGGATGTTCAGTTCCAACTTCTCTCTGACTTTCCTTCACGTTACTCGTCTCAAAGCAGAATCTCTACAGTGCGTCTCGTTTAGTCCCGTGAGTACTAACTTAGTTTAGGCTGCATGCACTTATACCTACGCAGCAATGAGTGTTTATGCTGAAGTACCAACAAGAACTTAACATAAGCAGTTTGGGAGCATTTGAGAAGCTTTGTTTTTCTTGTTCAGACAGAGAAAGTAGTGAGTTGAATTTGACACCGTTGTGAGCGTGTGTTTGCTTTGCGGACTGAGATGTTACATAACAGACCGTGTTGACCAACCATATGGAGGCTTTCTGCTCGGGCGGCCTTCTGGGCAGAACAGAGCAACTGAGGTCCTGTTTACCTCTGAGATCACAGCCAGGTGCATATTACAATTCACAACATCTGTTAGCTGAATTTCCATAAACCAGTCAAACTGGCTGGTGGCCCACGTGTTCCTACTAGTACGACACACAACATCCTAGCTAGAGTAGTTAGCCGTAATACACAAGCTTATACACACATTATTACTTTTTCAAATTCTTAAAAAAATAAAAATAACCGAGTAATGTGCGTTAACATGAATAAATAACACCAAGCGGACCAATTTAGGCTACTTTTACATAACTTTAACGTTATAACGTTAGGTAACGTTAAATGTCTGACACAACGTCAACGGCCCCGTGCAGCTGCTGGTTAGCAACACTGCTGGTTAACGTTAGCTGGCTCGCGTCTTTTAAACTAACTTTAGCTGACGTTAGCTAACAATCCTCGCAGTTTAAGAATGGTCGTCAGTTTAACAAAAGGGTTTTGGGTGGATTGTTAAAATAAGGCACAGTTTCACATGACGTTAAGTGGCCTAACGTCAAGTGTCGAGCTGCGGTGGTCTTGCCAACAGGGGGAATAACTAGTCTAAGTTTACGGGTTAGTTGGCTTCAATGAACGAGCCCGTTTTAGTCAACTTATGTCAACAATTTAAAATACATAAGAAGAATCTCCGTGTCGTAGCGGCAGTCAAGCCATTTATTTTTAAACAGCGCGTTTCGTCTCCTGCGTCCCTCAGTGCTTTTAGAGGTTTCCCTGGAGACGAGGTCGTAACGACGGTACAACGTAACGTTATAACACGGACGCCGCTCACCCGCATTTCGTTCGCATCGTTGGCCTCGTCGCCTTCTTTCCCCGCGCGTTTCTTCTGCTGCAGCTGCATGGTCTCGAAGGTCTTCAGCAGTTCTTCCTCCCTGGCTTTGTGAGCGTGGTTCCTCGAGGCGAAGTTCTCCAGCAGCTCCAGCACTTTCACTATCTTCGGCACCAGACCCGCGGCGCAGTCTTTGCCGCAGCCGTCAATAATTCTCTCGACGTCGGTGCCGATCAGTTTGGCTATTTCGTACACGTCGTCCACCGTCAGGGCCGAGAAGTTCCGGTGCAAACAGCCCTCCGCGCGGGCTATGGGTGTCTCCATGTCGGGAGCCGGGACCTGCTCGTAAATGTGAAAGTAACGAACGCCTGAAGGTGGAAGGTCTAACGTGAACGCGTCGTTGAGCGCGAGCTGCCGACACGCCTGCACGCGGCCCGCATCGCTCCCGATAGTAACACGTCGAGCATTTCGAACGTTTGCTCAAAAGGTCACAAGCCCACTAGAGCAAAACGCGACGTCGAGTAGTCCGCGTGGAGATACGTAAGAGAGCGAGGCTGGACAGAAGCAGATCCTCCTACTTTCACGACCAAAGTAATTTGAGTACACGGACGCACACGCGCGCGCGCACACAGTGGCTTGACAGGTCGAGCATACGGATGCGGGCACCAGAGCGTGAACATTGAATTTCCTCTGACGACCCGTAGTCACGAATGCTGACCTAGAACTGTCACATAGAGTACGGGGGCAAGTTGGCGGAACTCCAGAATTACTTCATTGTACCGAGCCTGAAGGGCAGCCGGGAGACGTCTCTTTAATCGCAGGACCAATTTAGAAGTTCCTCATGTCCGAATTGCTGAACAGTGCTCGAAATGTTCACTGAAATGAACCGAGTGTTGTTGACCTCTGGCTTCTCCAAAAAGGGAAGCATGCCAAGTAACTACCACTGCACAGTGAAACATGAATGATTCGCTTTTTTAGAGCAGATCACAGTAGAGGACGACATCAGGACCACATCCTCTGCCTGAGCATACATACGTTTGTATCCTTATGGTTGAAACTTATTGGAAGTCGCTTCGGACAAAAAAGCGTCAGCTAAATGACATGTCATCACAATACCACAAATGTTTATAAAAAACTGATCTTTATTTAAATCCAAGTTACAATGTCACGTGTACAGTACAAACAGTAGCAGGGTGGTTCTGATAGGAGAATACCACTTTCAAATTTGATTTCTCTAGGGCAAAGGGGAAATAAGTCTCACCCGGGTGAAAAAAATTTAATCAAATATGTTGCGTACTGCATGTTTAGATGTATAACAAGCCACAAAATATTAAAAAAGGACTATCTTCCTAACAAAGTTTTAATGTACTAATGGAGGTAAGCGTGGGGAACAACAATGTTTGTAAAAAAGAAAGGTTTCTAAAAGTGTCCCAAAGCAGTAACATAAAAATTTCCAAACATCACAGTTGCATGTGTTCAATAGAAACATTACGACTCCTCTGGACTGGCTCCACACGATCGTGGCAGAGCTATCTACAAAATGCGTGGACAGCAGGACGTCTTTCCTTAGGCGTACATGTCCTCGCGGTCCGCGTTATAGATCTCGCCCTCCTGCAGCGAGGCGAAGTTTAGGAAGTGCGATGGTCGGTGGACTTCGTGGTAGAACTCCTTCGGGTTGGCCAGCTGCAGGTCGTACTTCATGTTGGGGTCATGGCGAACACCTGGAAAAGGAATAAAATGTTTTATTTTCTTTAATCACCTCATTCTGCCAATTTTATGACAGTAAAGGAGACCCGACACGCTAGTTTAGAAAAAACAAATATCTGGTGAAAAATACAAGTTCCTCAAATGACAACTTAAACTGGCGACTGACCCATGAAGTTGTAGTTCCAGGACACCTGCCCGGGCACCATGAAGAAGCCCAGGAAGCGGTCAGAGAGCAGCATCTGCACTCGCTCATAGTGGGACGGCAGGTAGCCTTTGGGGTTGTTGCCTTTGTCCGTGTTCTGTCGGCCCCACTCGTAGCCACTGGGCGTCAGCTTGTAGGCTGTGAGCGTGCACGAGCCCGGGGTGAAGCTGAGAAACAAGACGTAAAAACATTTAAGCACCATTAGGCAACTACCATCACTTCACTGTGCGGTTGTAACTGCAACGCAGCTCCCTTAGAAACCGCGCACAGCTGTAGGAGCAAAGGGGGCGGTCCACATCCGTAATTTGGACTTCCGGATCTTACTTTTCAACAGTCATGAAACTAACCTGCAGGTAATGATGATGGTCTTTTCTCCGTCCCATGAAGGGTTGTCGGCCATGACCTTGGCGTGGGTGGTGACGTCCTGTGGGGACAGCTGGGGTGACTCATTAGGCTGAGTGTGTATCCAGCCGAGGGGCTCCATTTCCTGTTGAGAGAAAGGCAAGAAGTTACAAAAATGTTGATAAAACAAACTGCTTTAAGAATAAATAAATAAAAGCCGTAATTTGGTAAGAATAAGCTGGAGGATTCTCGCTTACTTTAAGGTATTCGTGACCAGGCAGCTGGTTGGGCAGGTGGACAGTCTGGTGCGTCCCCCACTGTGGCACCATGACGATGCAGCGGATCTCCTTCACCTGGGGGTTGTCTGGCGGGCTGGTGCCATACAAGTAGCCGGCAATCTGGAACAACGCAGTGCAGTGTGTGGGTTGCGATGACAGAACTTCAGGTAGAAATGTCCTGATGTGCATCTTAACCATAATTTGAGTCACTTCAAAATCAAAAATAATTTGCTTCCTGTGAATCCTACCTGTGCTCGCAGATCTGAGATGCAGATGAACTTCTTCAGGACGTTCTTGGGCAGGATGTAGGTGTAGCCGGTCTCTTTGATGTCGTCGGATGACACGTAGATGTGATTGGTGCGGAGGTGGAGGTTGGCGGCAGATATGGCCCTGACAGGTGAAGCACAGGCGACATTACAGCTAACTGAGGCGGCCATTAAATGGTCAGGATAACGTAGGTAACTGATACAATAAGCTGGTTTTTCACCATCGATGATAAGCTCTTTCGGAGTGATGAAAACGAATGCTCACCTGACTCGCCACTCGGTCTTCGAGGAGAAGGTCTGGGTCTCGTAGTTGGAGGTGGTGGAGGTGATGATCTCGTCGCCGTGCTTGTTGACGGTTCGGGTCTGCGTGGCGGTGAGCTGCGACTGCTCTTTGGTCTGCTTCTCAATCTCTGCGATCTGCTGGCGCTGCTGGGACGGAGCAGAGATCTCCATGCCCAGGATGATGTCACGGATCTCGGACTGCGTCAGCGAGGCCACGTTCACACTGGAAGAATACGGGAAAAGCATTGATTACTAGACACATGTAGGATGTTTATCATGTTCCATGACGTTACTAAACATTTGCGCGACACACTGTTCATTTCAGGCACATACGACCGTAGAGGACTCACTTGTTCTTTTTGCCATAATCTGCCAGAATGAGATCCTTGAGTTGCACTTCCACCTTGATCCACTCCTCGTCGGTGAGCGTTGGCCAGATGTGATGAGGCTCCGTGATGGTGGTCTTGTCCGGTTTCAGGATCACTTTGGCGCGGTCATTGTTGACGTGGAGGGCTCTCAGGATCAGGATAAGTCGAGAGAAGGCCTAAAGATCAGGGTGGGACAATAAAGCAGACTATTTACACAGGGGCTAAGTTGATGTGCACCCTAATGATTGTTGGGAAAATCAAAATTCAGTATGATCCATTTAAAAAGGAAGCCTTTAGCTTCCTGTCGGATGGAGCTATACTCACTGTGTAGGACGAGATGGTCTTGAGCCAGTCGTCGTACAGGTTGAACAGCACCATCTGAGGCTCCGTAGCCTTCAGGATCAGGTCTCCGAACTTCTCCACCTTCAGACAGGCCTGGAAGGGCAGCTGCAACTCAGAACCTTTGATCACGATGTTGGGGAAGTCAAGCAAGTGGACCTCCAGAGGGTCCAGCATGCCCTTCCTGGTTACGATGATCTGTTTGGGCTGCTCTTCCACAGGGAGGGAGCGAATCAGGGCAGCCACTTCTTCAGCTGTCTTCCATTTGGCCAGCTACAGAGATAAAGGAAGGATGAAGTTAAAGGGATTCTATAACTTCAGTGTAGCCATCTAGTGCCTTACATGAGCACTGTAGAGGTAAGAACTTCATAACCAACAAATAGGAAACTGATCCATACAAACAGAGCTGTCGACTATAAAAAGGTGAGGAGTTTGGGAGCCACGTCGTACCTGTCCCAGACGTTTCTGTCCCGCCCACACAGATGTGTGAATGATCTTGAGGAAAAGCTGACCAGTCCTGGGGTTGAAGATGAAAATGGCTCCATTGATGGGCTTCGTGGTCAAGTTACCCTCAAAGGTCTGTTGAGTCGGAGAGAAAACAAAAGTGACTAAATGCAAAGGATAAATGTTTATATTGCTGTGCAAAAGAAACAATTTGCAATGTCAAAATTAATTTATTAGTTTGTGAATAATTCCGGCCTCACCTTGTGGATGGTGACTCGGTACACGTTGGTGTCATCTACAAACCAGATGATCTGGTTGGAGAAGAGTTCACCGTAGTTCTGAGAGGACAGATACGGCTCAGTGGGCTCAGAGGAGTACAGCTGCAGACCTTTGCGGATGCGCTCCCTCAGCACGTACAGGGCCGGGTTGGCCTTCATGATCTTGGCCATGGCTTGCTGGATGAGAGGCTTGCTTCCTGGGAACCAGTTACCATAGGCGCTGTGGAAGAGACGCCACACAAGAGTTAAAGACCACCTTTGGGGAGCTTTTATTGACATTTCCTCTGTTTACCCAGTGCACTAAACACTTTATCACATGTGCGAATTTACTATTGAAGAAAAGATTGTGAGTTGGTGTGAAGACCGTCAAAGCTAGAGTATGGCGTACTCGACGACATAAACAAGTCGATGCCAGAAGTCAAACCAGTCTGTCAAACATTTTTCCTGCATTGTCATTTCCACACTTCTAAAGCCATTTAGAAAATAATGAATTGACATCAAATCTTTTTACATCGATCATTTGAAGCGTACCTGTGGAGGTTGTACGCCAGGTCGATGGCGATGAGCACCCCTGTGGGGGAGGGGTAGATACTCATGTTGTCGGTGGTGTAGTCCAGGAACTTGGCCCTGGCGTAGCGCTCAATGTCGTGAGAGTCATAGTCTCCCCAACGCAGCTGGATGTCGATCCAGTACTTCTGCGTGGTGGTGCTGTCCATCACGTCCCTGGAGGAGATGGGGCACATTTAATTCACAGATTAGGTAAAAAAATAAAAAGACCGTTAAAGTTAAGAGCATAAAAAAAAAAAACTTGAGACAGATTATTTCTTCCTGAAAGCCATGTAAAGAAGGCTTGGAAGGTCTTACTTCGAATCGGCCAGCAGAGATGGTCTGGAGACGTTCCACTTGTATGATGCAAAGAGGAGAATGTCTGCACAGGAGGAGTTCATCTTGTACGACTTCCTGGGGTGGATGGTCTCCTTCTGCACGGTCTCAATCTCAAGAGCATCCAGCTCTTGATCAAACACCTGAAAACAAAAAAGTAATGTGTATTGTGGTAAGAGAAGAAAAAACCTTTTGAGAAGAGAGTTCAACAAAGATCAATTAAATTTAAAA